TCCCCTGGGAACCAAGGTCATCTCTTACTCCCGGGACTAGGGACAGGGCGTTGTATTAGAAAGCCCGCGAAACAGTTCTATTGGGAAAGATAGTAAATTGCATATTTTTGAGGGTGGGACATTATACTTTGTAATTGGATAATTTTTAGTGGGAAATTCAGACTTGGTTTCACTTTTGACCATGCCGATACTTTGTAACCAATAAACTTGTTCTTTGAGGAATTTACAAGCCTTGGAGTTCTGCTTTATTTGGCTCTGTCTATCACAGGGGTCAAACTGCCGGCCCATGAGCCGGATGCATCATGCCGAAACCGCGCCCACCCCAGCTTCAGCAACGGGGGGAAAGTCGCAATACGCCATGACACATCACGTGACGTGGCAAGGTTGACACCCCTGGTCTATCGGAACTATGACACCTGGAGCTGTGACATCATTAGAAATCAAGCTTCAGCCTAAGGAAGGTTTATGGGCAGGATTAGTATTTCAGCAGAGTCCAAATGCATTGCTAACCCATGCCACAAGCAGAATATCTGGCAGATGAACAAGCTGCCCTTTTTTGGAACCTGGCATCTCTAAAAAGCTGGAGCCAAGAATGGTCAAAGTTTTGGGTTTTTTTTGTTTTTGTTTTTGTTTTGGAATCTGAGACAAAAGTGGAATGGTGTCCGCCCTTTGCTCCACTTGTGAATGGTGGTCAGACTGATAGATGACTCCTATTTCAGTGCTTAACGACCACACAAAGGCTCAGGGTGATGTCCTGCTGCTACTGAGTTCTCCACATCTGTCTCAGCAGTTACCATGATGCCAAGTGGCAGGCCTGGCCCTGGTAAGATCCTCGGTGCTTTTTAAATTTATTCCTCCCAGATAATTGAGGGCCTAATGAAATCACATGGATGGATACGGAAGAGCAACAGTGCGCTCAAAACCATCCTGTTGAAATATGTAGATTGAGCTGAGGAAAGCACGGGACTACATCACCCATATGCCCTCCTGTTTGGTTGGAACGGCCAAGAAGCTGGAATAAAGCCAGGCTGTTGAAGCAGGGGCACTTCTATGGAAAATGGTTCCTATCTGTTACGTTTAAATTCAGAATCTATTTCTAATGTGTATCCTTAATATTTCCAATTCTTTTTCTATTATCTTCACGGGGATTCTGAGACCACCAATCATGCAATCCGCCAAAAATAGTATATTTTCTTTATCGTTTTAGTTTATACAATTTTTACCTGTTACAATTGTAAGCTGCCCAGAGTTATCCTGAGGTAAAAAGGACAGCCAATAAATTTTTATAAATAAATAGATGGATATTTATTCTCACTCAATTATGAATAATATAGAACAGTCCAATGAGGGACATTGCATTCTTGAAACCTGTATATATATATATGGCTTTGTGGCTGACAAAGAGTTAAAGAGAGACTAGTATAACTATTTCAAGCTCTTTAGCTCTCATCAGCTAGTCTTACCCCTCTGGGATTCGAACCTGGGCAGCTTGCATGTTAGGCAGCTATACTAACCTTTATTTGGTAGACCAGGTGCTCCACACGTATGTGTGTGTGTGTGTGTGTGTGTGTGTGCGCGTGCGCTCTGGTTACAGGAGCTTCGGAAGTTTGCTGACTGGAATTCTGGGAGTTGAGGTCCACCTATCTCAGTGGTTCTCAACCTGTGGGTCGGAACCCCATTTGGGGTCGAACGACCATTTCATGGGGGTCGCCAAACAACGCAGTCCGCCATTTTCCCCCCCTTTTCCTTAGCTGTGCTACTCCCTTTTATTCTATTGGCTTTTGAAAGCCAATAGAATAGACTCTCTTGAATAGAGTCTAATTCTATTGGCTTTCAAAAGCCAATAGGAATTGTCCAGGCTGTCTCTGCCCTGCTGAGCCCACCAAAAGTCCCATTCTGCAAACGGTGCTGCACCAGTTGAGTAGTCCTCAACTTACGACCGGTTGAGTAGTCCTCGACTTATGACCGGTTGAGTAGTCCTCGACTTACGACCGGTTGGGGGTGGCGGCATTAAAAAGGTTGAGAACCACTAACCTATCTTCAAGGGACCCAAGGTTGTGAAACATTGTCCTAGCATGTCTTTTTGGAGTTTGCAGTTAGCACACATACTTTGTTAGCAAAAGGAGTAGACACATGTGGAGGCAGCAGATCCTGTTACCAGAACCGAGGGTTCTTTTGCAAGAGTACCATCAATGATTCATTTTTTTGGAATTTTTTTTTTTAAGTTCATGGTTAGATGGTGCCCTTGCTTTATACTGAAGTAGGGAGATTTGATGATTTACTGCAACTGGCCACGATAACAGCCTATTTGTATTTAAATACAGGTAGTCCATGACTTATGACCACAATTGAGCCTAAAATTTCTGTTGCTAAGCGAGATGATAGTTAAGCGAATTTGGTCCCATTTTATGACCTTTCTTGTAATCGTTGCTAAGCGAATCACTGCAGTTGTTAAGTTAGTCATACGGTTGTTAAGTGAATCTGGCTTCCCCATTGACTTTGCTTGTCGGAAGATCACAAAACGGGATCGCGTGACTCTGGGACACTGCAACCGTCATAAGTATGAGTCAGTTGCCAAGTGTCTGAATTTTGATCACAGGACTATGGGGATGCCGCAACGGTTGTAAGTGTGAAAAATGGTCATAAGTCGCTTTTTTCAGTGCCATTGTAACTTTAAATGGTCACTAAATGAATGTCAGTGATGGCGAACCTTTTAGAGACCGAGTGCCCAAACTGCAACCCCAAACCCACTTATACATTGTTGTGTGCCGGGTGGGTGTGGCCTATTGGGTAGGTGTGGCCCACTGGGTGGGCGTGGCTGCAGTGGTAACAGCAGACTGGGTGGGACTAAAAAGTTCAATCAATCAATTCCAACTTTGCAAGATCTTTTTTTTCCCCGCGAAATTGACTGATTGATTGAAGCTTTTTTTTTTGTACACAGTGGAGGCCTAAAGCGAAAAGGTTTTATAAAACCCAGCTGAAGGCCCAGGACTGGGGCGATGGCATGCGTGCCCACAGAGAGGGCTCTGAGTGCCATAGGTTCACCACCACTGCTGTAAGTGGAGGACTATCTGTAAAGAAGTAGCACTCCGCTCTTCTGTGGTTTTCATCCGCCACCCCTATTTTCAGGTTTCTGGAAAATGAGTGAAAGAGTCAAAGGCATTTCCACAAGGCCACCCCAAGAATGACAAAACACCCCGTGACTTATTCCACAGTATCTCAAGTTAGCTTGCTAAGCAACGCTTTCATTTGGCTACTGGACCAGGATGGAAGCAGAAAAGGGGAATTTATGGGAATGGTCCCTAAAATCAAGGAGGGGCAGCATTGACAATAAGTTGGATTCCAGTACTGGATTGGGGAGGAGGGGGTCTCTCCAGAGAGTTCTACGTGGTGGAGGGCCTCGGGCCTCGCTGCTCGGTCCACTTCTTTTCAACGTTAGTACAAAATGACTGGCGAGGTCAATGGTTGGCATGAGATCTGATATCCTCCGTAAGTTGACGCTACCCAGTTCGACATCCTGGCCTCTGGCAAGAGACAGGCAATGCAGCTGAAGTGCTGGGCCAGAATCTGGATGGAGAGGAGCAAATGGGTCTGGGGGCTCAATGATTCCATGGAAATGCTTTTTGAGTACTCTGGTTTTGCACATTACATACATACATACCGTATATGCCGGCGTACAAAGATGACCCGTCTTTATCGCCGAGCCGCATTCCTAGAACGTCATACGCCGGAAACTACCAGTATTTCCGGCGTATAAGACGACTCGGTGTATAAGACGACCCCCATCTTTGGCGCCGATTTCAGTGCTCGCGGAAGTCGCCTTATACACCGGCATATACGGTACATTGTTGTTGTTAATTGCGAAGTCGTGTCTGACCCATCGCAACCCCATGGACAACGTCCCTTCAGGTCTTCCTGTCCTCTACCATCTTCTGGAGTCCATTTAAATTCATACCTACTGCTTCAGTGACTCCATCCAGCCATCTCATTCTCTGTCGTCCTCTTCTTCTATTGCCCTCAGTCTTTCCCAGCATTAGGCTCTTCTCCAGCAAGTCCTTCCTTCTCATTAGGTGGCCAAAGTATTTGAGTTTCAACTTCAGGATCTGGCCTTCTAAAGACCAGTCGGGGTTGATCTCTTCTAGGACTGACCGGTTTGAACGCCTTGCAGTCCAAGGGTACGGTACATACCCTTGGTACATACGGTACATATGGTACATACATGCATATATACACATACGTATCTATATCTATATCTATATAATGTTTGTGTGTGTATGTATATGTCAGTGAAGTAAGCTGAAGTCTTGTTCAAGTTGAGTTGGTGTATTATTTTCTTGGCAACAACTCAAAAATAGTTTGCTTTTGCCTGCGGGCTTTTAGCTTTTCTGTGTAGCTTACACCTCTGGATTCCCTTTGAATGAAAATGTCCTGATTTGGAGGGGAAAAAAAACAACCCCAAGGGCTTTACTTGCTGCAAAGGGATGGTAAATTTGAGTGAAAGAATGCAGAGAGGAGCAACAGTGATGATTAGGGGCCTGGAGGCTAAAATATATGAAGAATGGTTGCAGGAATTGGGTTTGTCTCCTCTAGTGAAAAGAAGGAACAGGGGCGACATGATATCAATATTCCAAAATCTAAGTGGCTGCCACAAAGAAGGGGGTTGTGTCAACGTATTTTCCAAAGCACCAGAAGGCAAAAAAAGAAACAATGAATGGAAACTAACCAAAGAGAAAACCTAGAACTACGGAGGAATTTCCTGACAGTCAATGGAACGACTTTCCTCCAGAAGTTGTGGGTGCTCCAACACTGGAGGCTTTTAAGAAGAGATTGGACAACCGTATGTCTGAAATGGTATAGGGTTTCCTGCCTGAGGAGGGGGTTGGACTAGAAGACCTCCGAGGTCCCTTCTGTTATCAGCGCAGGCCTACTCTATTGTGACTTAATTCCAATCTATTTCCTCTTGCAGAAAGCTCTGGTTGATAAAAGGCCATTCAGAGGTCTGGAATCAACTGAATACATTTATTTAAAAGCAATTTTAAATATTAAAAAAGTAGAAATTAACACATACAGTACTCAAACGGTCACATTAAACACATAAGGAGACAAGTGTACTGGTATAGGATGATGACTGTAACATTCAAAGGAGATTTCAGTATCAACTAGTACTATAAGATCTGTTTTTCTTCTACAGGTGGTTGCAGTATGTCATAAAAAAATAAATAGCAATTGCTGTTCAACAGTAAGATAACACATCGTTGCCAGAACATACTTCCCTCCCTGGGGGGGAAAAAAACTCCAAAAAACAAGCAGGCTTTCCAAATATATCATGAAATGTACAAAATTGCAGATAATGGCTCTGAGTTTAAATAAGAAGCCTTGTACTTAAACTCAACCTATATATCATACATTGCATCTTAATTCGCCTATGGACTCTAAATCAAATAGTCAGCTCTTGGTTCCCGATGGAACTCATTTTATTTAAAAAATCCATATGCTACTTCAAAAAGCTTACAAAATAATAGACATTTGACTCTACATCATTTTACACATCTTTATAGGTTCGCTTTTATTTTTATTTTTTTTAAAACGTGGATTCTGAGTTTGTTTTAAAAGACAATTGACAAAGTAGATGAGTTTTCTCCTTTAATGCACTGGAAGGATGCTTAACGAGCAATATGGAATGCTAAGTCATTTTTGTTCTAGCGTTTATATAAACAGCTTAAGTCGGAAAACACTGACGTTTGCAAACAGGCTCAGTCATTCATCTTGTACCTTTGAACAAAATGTCTGTTACCCAGATGAAGCAATGGTTTGAAAACTCACTTTGCAATAAGAGCTGATAAATGCTTGGCTTTCTTTCACGTTAAAAGTTCTTAAATCGCTTGTATTTTGTATGTTAACCACTCAAACACTGAGGTTGTTTTTTTTTTTTTAAAAAAAAAAAAACACAACAGGTCCATATTGCTTTGGCTATGGATGTGTTGCAAAACTCAATATTTATTTGATTTAACATGCAATTAATTGATGCTTGTGCTTGGAGTGAAATGAATTGTTTTGAGATGGAATTTCAACAGACTGCTCTAGAGGAAGTGAAACTTGGTCTATTGGCAAAGTCGCTTTTAAAAAACCAGTTTCTGCCCAGTAAAACTGCAAAACACGTAACAAAACTCTAGCTCTATTCATTTCTCCCTCCCAAAAGGCTTTTATCTGTTCTGAAAATGTTTAGGAAGAAGTGCTTTGGCCCAGCAATTCTCTGCTGTTTATCAGATATCTTTTTTAGGCTTCCATGCAAATCTCTCTATAAAAAAATGTACTGTCACTTTAAGGGGTCAGCTCCTTAAACTGCAAGGAGTGGCACTTTTTTTCAGGTTTTGCAGAAATTTCAGAGAAAACCTAATTGTGTAGCAGAGAGGTGTGGCAATTGTGCAAAGTCTGAAGCCTTCTTCCAAATTGTGTTCGAAGCATGCACAGTCTTAACAAATAAATACGTAGCCGAAAGGAATATGCCCTTACTACCTTGATTGAAAAAAAAAATGAATTGAAGCTGCAGTCATAATATTTTAGCAGTCTAATAATTACAGGTCCAAACAGGTCCTTCCTACATTATTAACATTGTGGCTGCCAGACTCGGCATTGTTCAGTTTAGGAAAGCAAACTACTTCCAGATGTTCTTGTGGCTTCTCTAACAGCAGCTGTTTTTCAGGAAAGGGTATTTTTTAATTGTTTCGCTAACGATTTTGAGTTCTCCAGGCAGTAATACAATAGCAATATTGCGACTGAATATGGCTTAGGTGGAATGAAGATTGAAATCCCCCAATAGCCTAGTGAACGAATTAAGACAGCCAACAAATACTCTGCTCAGTTGATATTTTGATCTGGACTGTAAGGAGATCACTCCGAAGCTACCCTATTTGAAAAATGAATGACAAGCTGACAAATGTCACTTAAGTTCTTGCCTGAACAGAGACTATAAGCAGAAACATGAAGAAGCCATGCGCGTAGGAATGTACTTTATACTGAGATCCTGAAAGAAAAGCTCCAGCCAGGAATCTCTTGTGGGTTTCTGTGCGAGGCTGAATAATTTTTATTAAAGACTTCTGAGATGAGGTAAAAGAGCACAGGAAAAGACTTGCAGTTACAGAATACAAACATGAAAACGTGGCTTAATGCACCACAACAATTCTACTGGTTTTACCTGTAGCGTTAGTGCATATTTTCGTTTGTTGGATGGATGGGATACACCGGACACATTTTTTTTTTTAAAAAAAAATGAACACCAAGGAAGGGGGATTTGCCAACTGACATCAGCTGTTTCTTTGGGGGGCGGGGCGAAAGGGTAACGCTGCTAGCTATCTACTTTGAGAATACTGATGTATTACTAGGAACGGTAAATTCTGTACAGCTGAATAGGACTGAATGGGAACTAACAGTTTATTTAGAAAGCTGGCAATTCATAACACACAGACAAAAAAAAAAAAAAAAAATTAAGTGCTTGATGCCAAGAATGGCTTGAGCAACCCAGTAAGGCATGCCAGCTTCAACAATGACCATAATACTGGCAATGGCAAAGGAACGCCTTCTATATACAATACAGGTATGAGTCCCTCGTACGAGTTCTTGTCTTGTTAACAGCAGTTATATATATATACATCAATATCCACAATTATGCACAGAATTACAGGGATGCAGCAGCTGTTTTGCTTCGTGCTTAAAGCCTGACTTGCAGGAACAATGTGCAATACTCAAGTTTCCGGTTGGATTTAGTCTGATAAAATGTGGACGAAGGAGACGGGGAAGACCCCTCTCCGTTCTGGCTTCCCTTCAATGTGGCCGATCTGCAAAGAAGAACAAGGTGTCTTGTCAGGCATCACTGGGAGGAGGAAGCTTTCGAGAGGCCTCCACCGTGTGAACAGGTAGTCCTCGCCTTACGACCCCAATTGAGTCCATTTCTGTTGCTAAGCGAGGCAGTTGTCAAAAGTGAACTTACAAGGCTTGGCAAATATAAACATTACAAATTGAATTAATGAATGGGGTTCGTGTTAAATTTCCAGGGGCTGTGCAAACCCCTAGATTTCTTTTTCCAGAAGCAATAATGTAAAAGGGCCAACTACAGTTGTATAAGGCCTTGCACTTAACAACCTCACCACATCCTTGGGACCCTCCGATCGCCCTATGTGATTTTCCCTTACAGCTTCCTACGAGCAAGGCAGGAGGTCACAAAATGGTGATCATGTGACATCCTCCCTTAACGACCCACCATGGTTTACTTAATGACAGCAGCCCAAAGTGCTGGGATGGTCATCGCAAAACAATGTAATTGTGTGATTTGTTACGCTTTATGGCCAGGTTGCTTAGCGATGGAAATTCTTCTCCCAATTGCTGCTGTTAAGTGAGGATGACCTGCATACTGATATGCACAATATCCTTTGTTTTATTTAACTGTTAAAAGTAGTGTCAAGTTGGCTAACATCGGATGTTCTTGCTTGCCATATATGAAGAAGCAAACCTGTTTTATTTAGCCTGTATAGCACTTCTAGAGTTAAAGCAGATAATACTAGCCTAGTGGATGGGAAAATATGCTAGTTAACCATAACAATGTCTGAGCACAGTGTTGCCAAGGTCAGCTGTAATGGGAGGGGCACTTCACACTTCACATTAATTGGAGAATGTGAGTGATGACTGTAAAATGAAGGAGTGAGTTATGCTTTGTTAGGGGTGTTTGGGGGAGGGAGGATTCAGTTTTTGGCTTAACTTTGAATGTGCCGAAGCTATGCAGAAAATAAAGGATTCTTTAAGGTAAATAAGCCTCAAAGTTCTTTGAAAAGCTGCTTTTTTTCAGAACCATGACAAGTAGAGAAATACTTACCCACCACTCTTGATCCTCCTCTCCTGTGACGATAATAATTTCGCCCTCTACAAATGTAAGCTCGTCGTCATTATCCGCCTGGCAATCGTAGATTGTCTTCACCCTCCTAACTTTATTTTTTCCCTGAAGAACGAAAACAAACAAGTATACCATTTTAGATAAGATGGGGAAAAGATGGTCATCCTTTAGGTTGCTAATTGTAAGCGGAATGGAACAACTTGCCACAGCCAACACGCCACGGAAGAAGTCGCCATGCCACCGCATCACGGAACAACTCACCGTAGCCAACTCGCGGCCAATGCACCACAAAGCAACTCGCCACAAGACAACATACCATGGACAATCTGCCATGGGACAACTTGCCATGGACAACACGCTATGGGACAACTCACCACGGGACGTGGGACAACTCGCCAAGGGATAACATGCCATGGGACATGTCACAGCCAATGTGCTACGGGACAACTCACCATGGACAATACACTGCGGGACCACAGGACGTGGGACAACTCGCCATAGGATAACACGCCATGGGACATGTCACAGCCAATGTGCCACAGGACAACATGCCATGGACAACGTGCCATGGAACAACTTGCCATGGACAACACTGCGGGACAACTCACCACCCGACGTGGGATAACTCGCCACAGGACAACTTGTCACGGGATAACAGGCCATGGGACATGTTACAGCCAATGTGCCATGGGACAACACGCCATGGGACACATGCCACAGGACAACTCACCATGGCCAATGCGCTATGATACAGCGCACTACGGGACAACACACGATGGCCACGCACCTTGGGACAACTCACCATGGGACATACCACGGATAAAGTGCTGCAGGACAACTCACCACAGCCAACACACCACGGGACAACTTGCGACGGGACAATACATCACAGCCAATGCATCATGGGACAGCTTACCATGGGACACATGTCATGGGACGATATGCCACGGGACAACTTGCCAGGGCCAATGCATCATGGGACAACTCACCACTGGAAAACTCGCCATGGCCAACATGCCACAGGACAACTCGCCACGGGACAACACACCACAGCCAACGTGCCGTGGGACAACTCGCCAGGGCCAACGCACGGCAGGACTACTCTGTGGGACAATTCAACAATTCTGTTTAATTATTTAAAATAAATAAAAAAAATATTTTAATTTTTGCCCTTCACATTTCATCCTGTCTCTCCTTTTGCATCCTTTCTTGAATGGTTCCGTTCTACCATTTCTTTGATATTAGTGTAAGTCTTGTCCCACGGCGAGCTGGCCGTGGCACATTGTCCTAGACCCGACTGTCTATGAGCCAATGAGCCTGTTCAGATGCAGTCAGAAAATCTAGGGCAGATTTCTAGGCCACAGAGATGAAGCCGGTCCACTCGTGAGTAAGGAGTTGGCAAAATCTTTCCACTTGATGATGCAACTGTCTCTTTCAGAACAGGGATAATGCATAATAATCTTCGCTTTACTGACCATCTAGAAACCTAAAGAATTCCTGCTCTCAACGCCACTACATTTTATAGGTATAATTTATCACGCGCAGGCGTATTTCTGAAACGCTGAATTCAAGCAATGTCAGTAAGTGTGTTAAACCCATCAACATACTTGTGCCTGGAGATATACAAATCTGGAGAATAATTAGTCCTGCTAACCATCTGCTTGCCTCTTTGTTTTATGATTACAGGTAGTCCTCGCCTTATGACCACAATGGAGTCCAACACTTCTGTTGCTAAGTGAGACAATTTTCCACTTTTACGGCCCTTGCCAAAGTTGTTACGTGAATCAGTGCAGCAGCAGGGTTGTTAAGCGAATCTGCTTTCCCTATTGACTTTGTTTGTCAGAAGGTGACAAAAGAAGTTCACATGACCCCAGGACACTGCAACTGTCATAAGTACAAGCTGGTTTCCAAGTGTCCAAATTTTTACTCGGCCACGGGGGTGCTACAATGGTCGTAAGTCTGGAAAATGGTCATAAGTCATTTTTTTCAGGGCTGTTGTTAACTTGTAATGGTCACTAAATGGAAGCTAGTAAGTCAAAGACTAGCTGTATGGCACCATCAAAACTGACACCGGCCAGAGGATAGAACAACTCAAGGAATTATTGCAAGATTGAAAGACATGGAAAGATCTAGCCCAGGGGTAGTCAACCTTGGCTCTTTTATGACTCATGGACTTCAACTCCCAGCATAGCTGGCTCAGGAATTCTGGGAGTTGAAGTTCACAAGTCATAAAAGAGCCAAGGTTGCCTTCTTCTTCTTGTGCCATATCCATTATCGGACATTAGCGATCATGTTGGCGATCCTGTTTTTATCAGCAGCCGCACGAAAAATTGCTGCTGAGTTTTGTCCAAACCAGTCCCTTAGATTTTGAAGCCACGATGTTCTTCTTCTTCCTGGACCTCGCTTGCCTTCCATCTTTCCCTGGAGGATTAAATGGAGTATGCCGTATTTTTCTGGGTGTCGCATCACATGTCTGAAATATTCTAACTTTCATTTTTTAATTGTTTTCATGATGTCCCTTGGCTTTCCCAGGCGGCTTACCACCTCCTAGTTGCCTACCCCTGATCTAGCCTATAGAACAGTGGTGGCGAACCTATGGCACAGGTGCCAGAGAGGGCACTCAGAGCCCTCTCCGTGGGCACGTGTGCCATCGCCTGAGTCCTAGGCCTTCAGCTGGGTTTTATAAAACCTTTCCGCTTTAGGTCTCTGCCGCTGTTTACAAAAAAAAAAAAGGTTCAATCAATCAGTCAATTTCAACTTCTCGTGGGAAAAAAAAATCCTGCAAAGTTGGAATTGATTGATTGAACTTTTTAGTCCCATCCAGTCTGCCGTTACCACTGCAGCCACGCCCACTCAATGGGCCACACCCACTCAATGGGCCACACCCACCTAATGGGCCACACCCACCTAATGGGCCACACCCACCTGGCACCCGATGATGCATAAGTGGGTTTTGGGTTGCAGTTTGGGCACTCAGTCTCTAAAAGGTTTGCCATCACTGCTATAGAATCACCAAGAGTTGGACATGACTAAATGGACATTATCATCCATCATCCACAGCACAACAGTATGTGCCATAACATCGGAAACAAGAAGCTATCGACTTACCATGTTAATTTTTCTAGGAAGTGGCACGGGGGTTTCTGCTGATCCAGGAGTTGTATCTCCAGACTCTTCCGATGCTTGTTTCTGGACAATCTCTTTCAATTGTATCTTTGGGGAAAGATCCATATTGGGCGATTTCTGATTGGCCTCAGAGGGCTGAGATCTGGGGGATATCTCCCCACCAGGAGATTTTGTCAAAGCTTCTCCTAGTTGTGGTTTTGGAGGGAGATCCTTCATTTGGGGCTTTGGAGGTAAGTCTGCTAGTTGAGGTTTGGGAGGCAGGTCCCCCAGTTGGGGTTTGGGGGGTAATTCTCCTGGTTTGGGGGCTAAATCTGCAGGCTGGGGTTTCTGGGGCAGATCGATACAAAGAGAAGCGGACTTTTGAAAGGTTTCAGATTGGTGGCTGGATTTATCGAGCGAAGGGAGATGAATTGTTTCTATTTTTCGTAATGCCACTGAAAGAAAGAGAAAGCAAAAACAGTGAGAGAATTTCAGATGAAGCCTTTTTCGTTTCCTTCCCTGTTTTTGTGAAAACAAATCCCATCTGTCTCCTTTGCAATTTTACAACTGCCACTTTATTGAGCACAATATACTAATTTATATTGGGACCCAGTGACAGCAGAAGAAGAAATGATAAACATGCAATCTCAAAAGCACAAATGCAATATATACGGGGGGGGAGGGGGAATGAACACCCGTGGTTCTTTCGTTTACTCTTTCTTTTTCTATAGCACAATCTTTTATTTATTTATTTTTTTCTTGCCTGGGTGTATAAAAAGAGAGAAAAGTCTATGGAGATTCTCAAACATCCAGGCCATGGCTGTCCGAAAGGTGTTTTCCCCCCCAAAAGGCAACTGGATTTTCTTATTTTTTTTTCTTTGAAAACATTTTGCTTCTCATCCTAGAAGCTTCATAAAAACTGAAGAGGTTTCTTGGATGAGAAGCGACCCCTTTTCAAAGAAACAAACAAAAAACGAAGTCCAGTTGCCTTTTGGAAAAAGCATCTCTGGGAAGAACAGAGAGAGGGTTACTTCAGAATACAAAACAATTTAACCAACCAAAAAAAAGGGAAGATAAAGAAGATGGTAAAAAGAATGTTTTAAAATGGATCGTTAGCAGTCACCCTTAAAGTAAGCCTTGACCGCATGAAACGTTTAGTCTCTGAGCTGAGAGAATTTAAAGAGAGAATGTAAAGAGAATTTAAGGCAAAAGTCTACTAGTTGCATTCCTGCCTACTGGCTCTTAAAGTAGTTGAATTATGGAGAGCAGATTCCATGAGTTTTTATTTCAAGCTATCTTTTAATGCAATTCTGCACATATTATATATGTATGTATGTATGTATGTATGTATGTATGTATGTATGTATGTGTACACACACACACACACACACACACACACACACACACACACACACACACTTCCCTCTCAATTCCTGGCAAATGGATGGGGAAGAAATGGAGGTAGTGACAGATTTTATCTTCCTGGGCTCCAAGATCACCACAGATGGGGACTGCAGCCAAGAAATTAAAAGACGCTTGCTCCTGGGGAGGAAAGCTATGGCAAATCTAGACAGCATACTAAAAAGCAGAGACGTCACCCTGCCAACAAAAGTACGTATAGTCCAGGCCATGGTTTTCCCAGTTGCAATGTATGGCTGTGAAACTTGGACCATAAGAAAGGCTGAGCGCCAAAGAATTGAGGCCTTTGAACTATGCTGGAGAAGGCTCCTGCAAGTCCCCTGGACTGTAAGACGATCAAACTGGTCAGTCCTGGAGGAGATCAACCCTGACTGCTCTTTAGAAGGCCAGATCCTGAAGGTGAAACTCAAATACTTTGGCCACCTGATGAGAAGGAAGAACTCACTGGAGAAGAGCCTAATGCTGGGAAAGATTGAGGGCAATAGAAGAAGGGGACGACAGAGAATGAGGTGGCTGGATGGAGTCAATGAAGCAGTAGGCGGGAGCTTAAATGGACTCCAGAAGATGGTAGAAGACAGAAAGGCCTGGAGGAATGTTGTCCATGGGGTTGCGATGGGTCAGACACGACTTCACAAGTAACGAGAGAGAGAGAGAGAGAGAGAGAGAGAGAGAGAGAGAGAGAGAGAGAGAGAGAGAGAGAGAGAGAACAGAAAGAGAGAGAGCGCGTGCGCACAGACACAGAGAGAGAGAGAGAGAGAGAGAGAGAGAGAGAGAGAGAGAGAGAGATGCATTGAAAGTTTGTTTGAAATAAAAATTCATGGAATCTGCTCCCCATAATTTGACTACATCAAAGGCAGACTTTATAGGTCTCCTACCTTCATTCACTATCCTAGCTTAGATTGTCCAGGGGTTGTTTTGTTTTTTTTTAAGTGAAAGCCACTTAGCATATTACATGTTCACATACAATCCCCCTTGAGTCAATCTTGACAGTTATTAATAATAATAATAATGAAGTTCTTTCATGGCATTTCTCTTTTCTCCTCATCTAGCTTACAGCCCTGGGGTATTCTTGCAGTTTCCCATTCCAAGACTAACCTTGCCTGACCCTGCTTTGCTTTTTTCATTATCAGCTTTACCTTTTTGAGGTAGTTTCGGAAGCACTCGGGGCCCCAAGGCAGTCTTAGCAGTCCCGGTGCTGATGAAGGAAGACACAAGAGATTCAATTCTATAATTTAAAAAAGCCTCGTAGTTAGAACAGAGGCGTCCATCAGCATTGCCGACACAAACATTTTCAGAACTGGAGGCATTTATTGTCATTTTTACCATGCTCACAAGCAAACCATGTAGTCGGTAAGCGAATCCATCTTCCTTGATGGACTTGTTGGAAGCCAGTTAAGGAAAATCACAAATTACGAGCATGAGACCACAAGGCACTGCAACCTTCGTAAATGTGAATTGGTTGCTGAGTGCTCGAATTGTGACCCTGTGACTGTGTGGATGGTACAACTGTAAACTCAAGAATGTAAGTCACTTTTTCCGAGGCCATCGTAACTGTGAGACGTTATTAAACGAATGTTTGTTAAGTCGAGTTGAACGCAAACTGTGCAAACACTAGAAGAAGGTAAGAAAAGGAGATATGAATGCAGGTGTGTGTGTGTGTGTGTGTGTGTGTGTAAAATCCTCTACAACATGAAAATCATATCTACTTTCACATTCTTGTGTGGTGACAGTAAATATACAAAGTAACATCCACATATAAATATCTCACCCTGACTGTTGAGACATCCCTTCAAATTTGTTTGCAGTCTTGGTGGCTGGTGGACCCAGATCATTACCTAAAAGTAAGAGTATTGAACATTAAAATTTTTAAAGTAGCAGACATGACATTAAATGATTAGAATCCGTCATAGAAATGGTATAAAGATTTGGACGTATATAACTGAAAGATGCATGTCTTTCCAAAACGTTACAGGTAAATCCTTGATTTATGACCACAATTAAACCCAAAATTTATGTTGTCAAGTAAGACAGATAAGGGAGTTTTGGCCCATTTTACAATTTTTCTTGTCACAATTGTTAAGTGATTTTTTTCTAACTTAATAGCCGAGCTGTTAAGTGAACCTGGCTTCCCCATGGACTTTGCTTGTTAGAAGGTCACAAAAGGTGAGCGTGTGACCTCGGAACAAGGCAACCGCCATAAATATGGACTGTTGGCCAAGTGTCCAAATTTTGATCAAGTGACCATGGGGATGCTACAACAGCCGTAAGTGTGAAAAACAGTCATAAGTCACTTTTTTCAGTGCCGCTGTAAATTCAAACGGTCACTAAACAAATGGTTGTAAGTCAAGGACTATCTGTAATTTGATACAATAAAAATCAGACTGCTAACGAGGAAATAATATTCAAAATGAAACACTCAGTTCAACCTAATCTCAAACTCAGTTTCATCTACATCATTCAGTACTGACTGCATCTCAGAATCTGTGTATCTATCATCAATATCCATCATATCCATCATCATCTCTGCCTATCATATCTCTGTCTGTCTGTCTGTCTGTCTGTCTGTCTGTCTGTCTGCCTGCCTATCTATCTATCTATCTATCTATCTATCTATCTATCTATCTATCTATCTATCTATCTATCTATCTATCTATCTCTTCCTATCTATCTATCTGTCTGTCTGTCTGTCTGTCTATATCTTCCTTCCTATCTATCTATCTATCTATCTATCTATCTATCTATCTATCTATCTATCTATCTATCTATCCATCCATCCATCTCTTTCATATGCATCTCTCTCTCTCTCTCTCTCTCTCTCTCTCTCTCTCTCTCTCACACACACACACACACACACACACACACACTGCACCCACTGGCAACTCCTTCAATCAAATATGCCTGCTCCTGAGATTACACAACCCCAATCACCTTGTATTTACAAAGTCTTTATTTCTGTTTCACTAGACCTGCTACAAGCAACGTGTTCAAATTTTCAGAGAAAAAAATGTATTTGATTCAATCTGATATATTTTGAATTGGCCAAGGATGGCTAGACCCCCAAAGCAAATATTTTCTGATTGATTGATCACTTGATTGATTTATAGGTTGCCCAACTCCAGTGGGCTTTGGAGTTAGCCTTGGACGCTGTACATAAAGATGGTTTTTGGAGGCAAATTATCCAGAAGAAGTACTAGAAATGTGTGCCATTTTCCCTGCTTCCTAACCTGATTTAGACTGTCTAAATCTGTAACCCTTTTCTCCATCAACGCTCTAATAATCTGGAAAGCCAAGAGTGGAAATCAGAATAGAGAGATCTCAAGAGATTCAGACCAGTCAAAATGCATGGAACTACTAAAAGATGATACAGAGAGAAACTCTTATTAAAGAAAATGATCTTAACAGTTATAAATGTTGACAAGAAAGCTGAATACTCCAGGATATTAGGGATAGGAAAGGTAAATGCTGGTGCTTAAAAGGTTGTGAACCCATTTGAATTCTCAATATTTCTCTATGAATATGACCTAAAGCTTGATCTGTTCTCCACCCAAGCCCTAAAAGAAGAGAACAAAATTATACCAGTTAAAAACATTATATTTTAATTTATTTATTGGGGAAGGTGATCCAAAGTACATATTTGTGTTCACTTTATCTAGTTTTAAGACTTGTGTGGAGAACGTTTTAGCTCATGTTTATGCACAAATATTGAAATTATGCACAAAATTAAAAGGGTTCACAAACTTTTAAGAACCTCTCTAGAAGTTGTTGAAACTCATCTTGTACATATTCCTCCTTTTTTAATGAAAAGGTCACTTAAAATTCACAGCATACTCAAAAAATTACAAACAACTGAGGTAATAAAAACAGACCAAATACAGGTGATCTCATTCATCACATGAAAACTAACACCAAATACAATGCACAATACAATATCTGTGTGTGCCATTCTTCCCCTCACATGTCACTGCTACTACAGACTCAGAAGCTGTGTTGTAATTTATAGTTAATTTTATTTTTGTTCTTCTGCAGTTTAATTATGCTCAGGTTTGATCTAGGGCAGGGGTTCTCAACCTTGGCAACTTTAAGACTTGTGGACTTCAACTCCCAGAATTCCTCAGCCAGCTTTGCTGGCTGAGGAATTCTGGGAGTTGAAGTCCACAAGTCTTAAAGTTGCCAAGGTTGAGAACCCCTGATCTAGGCGTTAATTAAGGCACCAGGCTAGAAAGTGGGAGACCATGAGTTCAAATTCCACCTTAGCCATGAAAGCTGGCTGGATGGCTCCGAGCCAATCACCAGAAGACAGAAAATTCTAGTTCTACCTTAGGCGTGAAAGCCAGCTGAGTGACTTTGGGCCAATCACTCTCTCTCAGCCCAACCTACCTCACAAGGTTCTTAATGTGGGAAAAATAGGAGGAGTATTAGATATGTCCACCACCTTGAGGTATTTTTTTAAAAATAATAAAGGTGGGATATAAATCAATATAACTTGGTAGTCAAACAATATAGAATTCAGCAGATTCCTGTTTAGCTGTTTTTGCACTTCAGAAAAGAACTATATTCTGTATAAATCTAGAAATATATTTGGCTATCATTATACATCCCCTGCACTGATGTATAAGATATTTTGAATATGTAGCAAGTGCTGATAACCTTATAAAAAGATTAAGATTTGATTTTTAAGCTGATAGGAAGTCTAGTCATCTATAGCTCCACTGATTTACAAATTTCAGTTTTCTCTCTGTTTTGAATCAATGTTCCATTTCTATGAAATTTCAGTGGTCCTTTAGACTTTTTAAAATCTTGGACGTAAATCAGCATAAATCTGTTGGATTCGAAACCATTCACGATAAAGTATGTAGTTCAAACAATCCTTAGACCTTTTTCAGAGCTAAAATTAAAAACAGATAGCCTAATGCAGAGAATCATAACTTAATCAAGTAAAAGTTTTAGGCCTCTGAAATGTTCTGAAACTATAACTGAAGCATACTGTTTTTATTATCTCCTTTTTAGCACTATAAAATGCTAATTTAAACCATTTTAGGCAGGACACAAAATTAATATGGTAAGAGTGAGGTCAACAGCTTCAAAATGTTTCCTAGGATGCTTCAAAACGTACTATTGCATCATCTCCCAACACAAAATATATACTGATCCAAAGACTTTTGTTCTAACAAACTTCCTGGCTTTACAAGGAGGTCATAATTTTCTATCTATCACAGGTTTCAGAAAAAACAATGAGCTATAAAACTTTGGAGTAACTCTAAAATGCCAGCAACAGCATTTAATTTATAATCAGTGGTTCTAGCTCAATTAAAACATCATAACCAACCATTGTTGGTTCTAATGTTGCAGAGAATTGCAACCATGGCTTGAATTTTCAAATATTAGGCATTTTTTTTTACCTTTTCCATTTTGCATTTGTTTCTATATTCTTCCACGTAGGAGGGCTCCAGACACACAGTAACGTAAGATTTGTCAAGACATCACACCAAGCAACAACAGAAATCATATTTCCCAAAATCCATACCATAACATGGGACACCAGTTAGGGCTAGGACCCCCCTACAAGCTGGCAACTTAATCTCCCGCTATAGTAAATCATAGTGAGAATTCCTTAACCATGGTTGGATAGGGCATTGTTAGGCTCAAAGAATCAGGATCACATGCCAAGATATATTGCTTGTGCCTATACACAAGAATTTAGTCAACTAACAGCACTAAATTGGCATTAGGTAAGAGCTAATGGAATTCAAGGGGGAGTTGGAGTTGGATCAGTTGTGGGAATGTAATGATTCCAGGCTGATTCCTCTCTTGACTCCACCCCCCAGGCTTTACCTATCCTTTCCCTACAGGCATTGAAACTAAATCAGTATGAATATTATTATAACTCACCCCAAGACATTTGGCCCTTATTCTGGGGCCCATGAGGTTGTGGGCTGGGTGGGTCTGATAGGGTTCTTTTGTGTCCAGGGGGTGGGGGAGGGGGCTTCTTCTTAGACAGGGTGGAGCTGCCACTAGAGGCTGGAGTGCTTAATGGGAGTGTTGAAGGAGGGCACGTTGGACCTGTGGAGATAAACAAATGTCTTCTTATCAACACAAAGATGGGTTAACACCAATACAGCACAAGGGAAACTCAAAATCAGACAACAGGAAAATACAGCAAAGGACTGGGAAAACAACAACAACCAATGGCCATTCCAAAAAGTGGACAATTTAGCAAAATTCTTTTCTTACTATTAACTTTTCCAGCAATTACTGTGATTGGAGAAATAGATACACATGTAGAGACATACACACAGTTTCAAAGAGAAGGCAACACAAAGAAACTTAAGATGCAGGAAGAGAGGTTTATATATAATACCAAGTAAATCCACTGACTATAATTTGGATCGGTCACCGGAGATTTAATTTTCTGAGCTTTCAGGCTCAAGCTGCTGGAGTCCATCCTCAGAGAACTTCAGAATGTGTGAAGCATTCTGATGAGAGGGAAGTTCCCTCAGGATGGGCTCCAGCATGAGTCTGAAAGCTTGGAAGACTAAATCTCTGCTCCTGGTGAATGATCCAGATTGGATCCTGCAACATTATACAGGGGCATGTATATTTGCCTTCATTCGTAAATCAACGGCCTTATATTACACTTAAATCCATGATTTCAATGAATGTAGTGTCCCACAAAAATAATCTCCACTATATTGAGTCTTATCAATAGAATAAGTTAGTTACTATTGTAAATCCCATTCATTAATGTTGGTCGTTTATAGATATGGTTAAGACTAGATCTGACTGTTTACCAATAAAAATATTCATCAATGTTAGTATGAATAAATCTAAGCAGTAATTTTACTTGTTATATCTAATGTTAAATCTAAAAGAATTGTGTCAACAGCCAAAAGCACAGTTTTAATATAGTAAAAATCTCAAGTTCAAAACACTAACAAGCCGAGGTGAATGATGATTTATCAATGTGAAATAGACTACTCTTGATTATGTGTTTATCTACTTCAGTGGTTCTCAACCTGTGGGTCGGGACCCCATTTGGGGTCGAATGACAATTTCACGGGGGTCGCCAAACAAGGCTGTCCGCCATTTTTTCCCCCTTTTCTTTGGCCATGCCCCTGGCACCCAGTGATGTATAAGTGGTTGGGGGTCACCACAACATGAGGAACTATATTATGGGGTCGTGGCATTAGAAAGGTTGAGAACCACTGATCTACTTGAACGTGATTTGAATTGAATCACGTATCTTTAATACAACAATTTAGCAAAAGTTACTGTATTTTCCGGCATATAAGACGATTTTCTAAACCATGCAAATCTTCTACGAAGTCGGGGATCGTCTTATACGCCGAGTCGTCTTATATGCCGGAAAATACTGTATTTTCCGGCATATAAGATGACTTTCTAACCATGCAAATCTTCTCCAAATTCGGGGGTCATCTTATACGCTGAGTTGTCTTATACACCGGAAAATACGGTAGTCTCAAAATAGATACATTTTAACACTGTTATATGTCTGAAATCTGTTTTTAAATTAATTTCAGCTTATTTATTTTTTTGCTGACTTATTATCCCTCTAGAAAACAACTGGCTGTAGGATTATAAGCAAATGCATTAATTAAATAGATTTAATCAAACTATTCATTTGTTGATGGTGTGCATACTAAGTAACAAAACAGCATATATCTCCCTTCTTTCTATTAAGCTTGATTAGCACCCTGATAAAGAAGTGTAAGTGAGGTTAGGCAAGAATGTTTATTAACTGTAATCACAAGTTTCTTTGCATTGTAAATTAAACAATTTTACTTAAAACAAGATAATGTATGCCATCTGAGTAATAAAATTAGATTAAATCTGTGTCCATTGGTATCTTATCTCGAGAGAGAGTATATATCAATTGATAAGCAAGGGGAGATTCATATCTTTTAGGTATCTGCCATAGTTGGACATGATTACAGTTGACCTAATGCGGACTCTCAGGTCCACCAAGATGGTTCTTTAATGGAAAAGATGAAAAGCCATGGGTTCGAATCACCATGGGTATAGGAGCAAGTGCAAAGGCAATCAACGAAGTTCTTTGTTCTTGTTTGCAGTAAAGATTCATTTAGCTAAAATGTGTCCGAAAAAGTTCTTTTGAACCCAAGCCTAGGATTTACAAATTTGCTAGGCAAAGCTAAGTGGTCTCTGATAAGAGATGCTTGGTATCATGTATCCACTTTATTTTCTAAGAATGCTTCCAGGTTAGATTTGGGGACTCAGGGAGTCCTCAACTTACAACAGTTCATTTATTGACTGTTCAGAATTGCAACGGCACTGAAAAAAATGATTTTACAACCATTTTTCATACAACCGTTGCAGTATCTTCATGGTCACCTGATCAAAATTCAAATGCTTGGCAACTGGCATGTATGTATGACGGTTGCAATTTTCCCAGGGTCACGTGATCCCCTTTTACGACCGTCTGACACGCAAAGTCAATGGAGAAGCCAGATTCATTTAACAACAGGGTTGTTGACTTAACAACTGCACTGATTCGCTTAACAACTGTGGTGAGAAACGTCTTAAAATGGGGCAAAGCTCACTTAACAAATGTCTCACTTAGCAACAGAAATGTTGGGCTCAATTGTGGTTGTAAATTGAGGACTACCTGTATTACCTATGAATATTACTTAAAGTAAATATTTTTGAAGGTGATGTTTTGCCTTGCCATTTAATTACATTGAAAATATAATTAATGTTTCCCTAATTTCTGATAAGTTTGTTGCAAAGATCCTTACCGCCTATAATAAATAAAATCCTGCTCTTCCTTACAAAATAATGATTTGCTACTTTTCATTATTAAGTAACGAACTATCAGGCAATACAATGGAACAGATCTTATCATATTGTATATCTTGAGATATTACCTTGATATTTCCACTCTTTAGCAATAATTAATTTGACTGTTAAAATTTGATTTTTTTTAATTCTACAAAAAAGGTTTTGGTTCTGCTATCAAATATATGTAATAAACCTAACCTTGGGGGGGGGGGGAAACCCTCAATCTTCTGTTCAATTATATGTGAAATCTCATTAAAAATGTTCCTCCAAAAACTTGGAATGTATCGTATTTGTGCTTCAGAGACAGAGTACATAACACATATACAGAAGTATGGCCTATTGGGATCTTTATATTAAAACAACACATTTCATGTGTGTTCAGAATCCAAAACTTCTATATAATACAGGCCTTCAGTTGAACAAAAAAATACAGTTGAGAATTATATATGTAGAACAGATTGTGGTAAATTGTAGAGATGACATAGAAATAGGACTTGCATTTTCTTTTACATATTTTTATTCTCTTTTTAATGTGTGGTATTATTACTGTTTTGTGTTTTATATTTTATATTCTGATATAGCCTAACAGCTGATCCGTAAAGTATTATTTTCACTGCATTCTAATGCTATTACATATCAAAGATTAGAGAATGCTCTCTTCAGTTTATAGTCTTTGCAATAGTTCACCGAATATTTTTAGGCTTTGAGAATCTTACTTAGGTGCCACTGATGTTCAAGCATACTTCCTCTTTTGATGCTAATTAACAATTCTCTAAGGAATTTATCTACTTTATGGTAGGTTCGCCAACATTTATTTCAAATAAGAGCTGATATATTTTTGAAATTGTTATCTATCGTTGCTATAAAAAAGTTACATTTTCAAAACTAAATAGATTTCCATTCTATTTTCATTCTCCACTGTTTTAAAATTTCATATTGAATTGATCTGATACCAGAAAAACCATAATATCCACCATCCTAATTGTGATTCACTTTCTCTAGACTGCAACGTATTGAGCTTTTAAAAAAAATCATTTATTTCATAAAAGCTTTCCCCCAGTACAGGGTCTGTGCTAAGCTTGGCATCTTTTGTCCACAATGGCATTCAGATTTTGCATTGAAGACTCAGAATTTATGTATTTACAAATAACCAATCATAAACATTATAATTTAACTTTTTTCATGTTAAGTGATATATAGAGCAATTTGATGCAATCAATCTCCAATTAAGCCTAACTATAATCAATAAGATTTCCTCTGAAAAGAATTTATACATTCAAGCTTTAAAATATTTCTTCTACTCATATTAAAATTATTTTATCATTTTAATATTATTTGGCATATTTAGGCAACTGTGCACCATTTGGTATGTACTGTAAGTATATAAACTAAGAAACCATTTTTCACTAGAGTACCATCTACTTGAGTAAAGCTTGGAAGATAATTGATAGCATAAACCATTTTTTGCTTTAAAATCAATTGATTTATTATGGAGGACATTCTAAGAACTAAAATCCAAACCTCTTTAGAAATATAATTTGCATTCACCACATTTATCAGGAGGTTTGTTTGGATTTTGTTTAGCATACTGTACAGTTCTGGTTATTGTCTGTTATTGTAAACGAGAATCTAAGATTTAGTGTGTAGAGGAAAGACAAATTGTGGCTTATTTATACATAATTGTTAAGCAGTCTGTATAATGCATGGAAAGATTCACATATCTTCCATACTACAAAATAATAGTGAAAACAGGATTATTTTTTAAAAAAACGACATCACTCAAATTACTGAATACTATCTGCTAGTTACAAAGAACAAAATACTACATAGAATTTCCTAAAAAATATATTACAACTAAGGTGATCGTAACAACTGTATTTTAAAATGGCAATAATATAATCACTGATTAGTGTGGAATAAAAATGTGTCACCTTGTGCTCTGATTTTCAAACCACCGAGTAAGAAAACCAGCAGATTTCAAGCAGAAATACCACTACATCCTGACCATTCCTGATATTATTAAAACATTCAGAAATATTTGTTAATAACTTGTGTAAAAGTTTCTAAACACAAGCATTCATTTTTATTTCAAGAATGCTTGAATTTAGTGTCAGCAGAATGATTCCTCTAAGTCAGGGGTAGGCAACCTTGGCTCTTTTATGACTCGTGGACTTCAACTCCCAGAATTCCTGAGCCAGCCATGCTGAGGAGAAAGGGAGAGGTTTCCAAGCTGAGCCATGCTGGCTCAGGAATTCTGGGAGTTGAAGTCCACAAGTCATAAAAGAGCCAAGGTTGTCTACCCCTGCTCTAAGTATACTAAAGAATTAAGTGTCCCTTGTCCTTTGTTCCATCCACAAGGTAGTCATTGACTTAGGACCACAATTGAGCCCCAAATTTCTGTTCCTAAATGAGACATTTGTTAAGCAAGTTTTGCCTCATTTTACGACCTTTCTTGCCCCAGTTGTTAAGTGAGTCACTGCAGTTGACAAGTTAGTAACACAGTTGTTAAGTGAATCCGGCTTCCCCCACAGACATTGCTTGTCAGATGGTCGCAAAAGATGAAAACATGACCTTGGGACACAACAACAGTCTTAAGTACCAACCAGTTGCCAAGCATCTGAATTTTGATCACGTGATCATGGGGATGCTACCAAGGTTCTAACTGTGAAAAATGGTCATAAGTCCAGTGCTCTTGTAACTTTGAATGGTCACTAAACAAATTAGTTGTAAGTCAAGGACTACCTGTGCCAAATTCAGCCTCCTTTTCCAATATTAGCAAAATAAGTCATTGCCTGGAAATTTTGGAATTTATAGTTTCGCTGCAATGCCCTTTCAAAATGTTACTCGGCTTTATAAAATACATAAAAAGAGAAAGATGTTTTTTTGCGCATCTGTAAATAGGCCCAGCTAGTGAAGCAAACTGCTACTCATCCTCACCATTTGAAAATCCTCTTCCAGAAAGTTAAAATTAAACAGTAAGTCTCTATAGAATTGGCAGGGAGGGGGGGACATAAATCAAGCCCCGTTCCTGCAACACTCACAAAATGGCTGAACAAATACCTTTTCCAGCGTTTCTTGGAGGAAGCGGAGGCCCATCTACTGTCGTTGGCGAAGTGGCAGAGTCGATGCTGGCAGAGACAAAAATCTGATGTGGGAAGGCGCCGTAGGAGAGTCTCTGTTTGTCTCGCGGAGTGCCAAGACCAGGAAGAGCCATTTTGTCTTGGGGAGAAATACTGGAAGAATGACAAAAACTCTGCGGTCTGGGAGAACGTTCTTTCTTAATCGGGCTAGGCTGTGGGAAAAAATAAAATCACACTTTTATTTCAAGGGTGCCCTCTCTATTTGACTAATAAAGTCAAAACTTTCCAGTTAAAAAACAGGAAATGAAGGTGTTCAGTAAGCCCCTGAGGCATGAACAGTGATTTTTCAGTTTTGTTATAAGAAGTTTCCTTATTTATTTCAACGTCAGGCAGAACTTTCCATTATACATCTCATGAGAAAGACATCTACTCCCCAAAAGACATTTTTGAGCACACAGAAAGCTGATGAACTTTTTAAAACTCCCTGAGAATCTTAGAACTGGAGGAGGCAAGAAAATAGGTCAGAGAATTATACATGGACATATGATTTCTAAAGGCCATGGTTTTCCCAGTTGCAATATATGGCTGTGAAAGTTGGACCATAAGAAAAGCTGAGCGCCAAAGAATTGAGGTCTTTGAACTATGGTGCTGGAGAAGACTCCTGCGAGTCCCCTGGACTACAAGGCGATCAAACCGGTAAGTCCTAGAGGAGATCAACCCTGACCGCTCTTTAGAAGGCCAGATCCTGAAGTTGAAACTCAAATACTTTGGCCACCTAATGAGAAGGAAGGACTCACTGGAGAAGAGCCTAATGCTGGGAAAGATGGAGGGCAATACAAGAACGGGACGACAGAGAATGAGGTGGCTGGATGGAGTCATTGAAGCAGTAGGCGTGAGCTTAAATGGACTCCAGAAGATGGTAGAAGACAGAAAGGCCTGGTGGAACGTTGTCCATGGGGTTGCGATGGGTCTCACACAACTTCGCAATTAACAACAACAAATGATTTCTAAATATATTTTATTATTGCCAGGTGCAAGCAACTAGAATTTCTTGTGAATAAGTCAGTAACTTTACTACCATCCATATTACGTGGGAATGGCCAGATAAGGCTTCAAGGATCTTGGGGAAGGTCAAGTTTATGCTACTTGCAGCTGTGCAAGGACTCCACACTAGACCCTTGCTTGACTCCCTCCTTCCAACCTGGCTGGCAGTTTCCTAACAATTATTGAGTGAAGCTCTAAATAGGTGATTAGTATTTTGTTCAGGAGCTAACGACCATTCATCACATGAAAACAGGTGCAATGAATCAAGATCTATCCTACTCCATTATCTTTGAAACTACATTGTTTAGAATCTGTCTATGGAGATTCTCAGTCATCCAGGTCATGGTTGTCTCAAAGGTGCTTTTTCAAGAGGCAGCTGGACTTTCTTATTTTTCTTTGAAGACGTTTCGCTTCTCATCCAAGAAGCTTCTTTAGCTCTGACTGGATGGTGGGGAATGGAAGGATTTATACTCCTTGCAGACAGAATTTGCATTCTTTTAGAGCAGTGGTTCTCAACCTGTGGGTCGGGACCCCATTTGGGGTCGAACGACCATTTCACGGGGGTCGCCAAACAACGCAGTCTGCCATTTTTTCCCCCTTTTCCTTAGCTGTGCTACTCCCTTTTATTCTATTGGCTTTTGAAAGCCAATAGAATAGACTCTCTTGAATAGAGTCTAATTCTATTGGCTTTCAAAAGCCAATAGGAATTGTCCAGGCTGTCTCTGTCCTGCTGAGCCCGCCAAAAGTCCCATTCTGCAAACGGTGCTGCACCAGTTGAGTAGTCCTTGACTTACGACCGGTTGAGTAGTCTTCGACTTACGACCGTTTTGGGTCGCGGCATTAAAAAGGTTGAGAACCACTGTTTTAGAGAGTCGTTGAGGCCACTTGTGTCCTCAAGGTGGGGCAAATGTGTGTGGAGCCTTCTTGGAACTGCTCAGAATCATTAAAATTCGGACAAAATAGAAGTTTGATTCCTCCTTCTCCTCCTCCTCCCCCCCCCGCAAAAATATTGCATGGACTATTAATAATTTGCTTTCATGAATGTGGTAACTACTGGTTAAATTTGTATGTTATACCAAATGAATTATTCATAGACAGCAGGATATAATAAATGCATTGTTTGTAAATCAATCATTTGGCTTTTGGCGCCTTCCTCAGACAGTCCTCGACTTATAGCCACAACTAATCCCAATTTTTTTGCTGCTAAGCCAGACAGTTGTTGAGTGAGTTTTGCCCCATTTTACGACCTTTCTTGACACAGACGTTAAGTGAATCACTGCACTTATTCAGTTAGTTACTAACAGTTGGTAAGTGAATCTGTCTTCCCCATTGACTCTACTTGTTGGAAGGTCGCAAAAAGTGAAAACAAGACCCCGGGACACTGCAACCGTCATAAATATGAATCAGTTGCCAAGTGTCCAAATTTTTAATCACCTGACCACAGGTGATTCTGCAACGGTCATAAGTTTGAAAAATGGTCATGAGTCACTTTTTTTCAGGGCCGTTGCAGCTTTGAAGGGTCGCTAAATGAACCGTTGTAAGGCGAGGACTATCTGTAATGCCCCAAATCATCTTTACCTTGTCATCCAGATCATCGTCGCTTTCATCCATTTCTTCCTGTCGAAGATTCCACTCGTATTCAACGTGCACGTGCGGATTTAGTTTCCCCACCTTGGCCTGGGAAAGCTGAAATGCATGTAATTCAGGAGGGTCATCCTTTGTGTTTGTGAAAAGCACATTCTCTCCTCAGCAAAGACATTTTCTTTTCTTGTTTTTTTTTAGAATTTTTTTTTAAATTTTTATTTTTAAGCAACAAAACAAAACAAAGCAAAACATAACACACATACACACACAGTACATACTCCTCCCCCCCTTTTTAACAGCGATTACGTAACGATAATCTTCTATTATTTACATTTCCCCCATTATTCTTCTTTAGAATATTTGTCCTTATTGCCCCGTTGTTTCTTATTTACATTTTTCTTCCTCATATTCTACTTCTTAAGAATAATTCATATTATTATTATTGTACACTATTATACACATATTTTCACTTTTGACCTTTCCATATTTTTTCCTCCTCTTATTATTTCTAGTCTCCAACCAGTCATACCACTTGTTCCATGTTATATAGTACTCTGTGTCTTCCTTTTCTTTTATCTCTTTTGTTAATTTGTCCATCTCAGCACAGTCCAGGATTTTTCTTATCACTTCTTCCTCTGATGGTATATTCTCATTTTTCCAGCACTGTGCGTATGCTATTCTTGCCGCCATTATATGTAAAATTAAGTACCATATTTCTTTACTATATTTTCTGTTTAAAACACCCAACAAAAAGATCTCTGGTTTCCAGTCTACGGGTTGGTCTATTATTTCTTCGATCCATTTTCTTATTGTAGTCCAGTATTTTTTTCGCAACTGGGCATGTCTACCATAAATGATAATATGTTCCATGTACTTTTTTACATTTCCAACAATTGTTCTGGAACATCTTGGCTGGCTAGCAAAGACATTTTCTACTCGGGTTTGTCAGAGTTATCGAAAATCCTTTGTGATTATAAAAGAAATTAAGAAATAAAGCAAACGATAAACTTTCTCACGCCACAGTTCATGCTTTGATATGAGGAATTCTTGTTTTTGCTGGGAGGAGGGGAATAGAGAAAGGCTGAAAAAGAGCAGAATGTCAGTCTGGCATCTCTGTCTGTAGCCGGTTCATCCCATTCTACACTTACAAAAAAAGAAAGAAAGAAAGAAAGAAAGAAAGAAAGAAAGAAAGAAAGAAAGAAAGAAAGAAAGAAAAATTTTCAAGCAAATTTTCCCTTCTAACCTTCTAATTTTAAAAAAGCATTGTTTTCTTACCAAATCTTCACACTGGATAGCTTTCAGTCTCTTCGCCGTGTCCAGGGCAGTTTCTCCAGCTTGATTTACTGCAAAACGCCAGGATAAACTTAAACCTCCAAATGTTGCAATGAAGTTAAAAATTCATTAACCGTTAAAAGAAAAGATGCAAAGAAAATCAAATGGTTCTTATAGAGGAGAAAGGCATCTGACTTTAGTTATACAAGTAGTCCTCGACTTACGACAGTTCAAAGTGACAACGGCACTAAAAAAAAGTCCCTTCTCACCATTTTTCACACTTACGACTGCTGCAACATCCCCATGAGATTTACATTCGGATGCTTGACAACTGACTCACGTTTATGACGGTTGCAGTGTCCCAGGGTCATGGGATCACCTTTTGCAACCTTCAGACAAGCGAAGTTAATGGGGAAACCAGATTCGCTTAACAACCGTGTTACAACTGTGTCAAGAAATTTCGTAAAACAGGGCAAGACTCACTTAACAAATTTCTTAATAGCAACATAAATTTTGGGCTCAATCGGGTCGTAAATCGAGGACTGCCTACTACTTAGAGTAAATATTTTTGAAAGTGGTGTTTTGCTTTGCAACCTACAACAGTGATGGCGAACCTTTTAGAGCAGTGGTTCTCAACTGTGGGTCGGGACCCCATTTGGGGTCGAACGACATTTCACGGGGGTCGCCAAACAATGCAGTCCGCCATTTTTTCCCCCCTTTTCCTTAGCTGTGCTACTCCCTTTTATTCTATTGGCTTTTGAATAGACTCTTGAATAGAGTCTAATTCTATTGGCTTTCCAAAGCCAATAGGAATTGTCCAGGCTGTCTCTGCCCTGCTGAGCCCGCCAAAAGTCCCATTCTGCAAACAGTGCTGCACCAGTTGAGTAGTCCTCGACTTACAACCGGCTGGGGGTCGCAGTATTAAAAAGGTTGAGAACCACTGTTTTAGAGACTGAGTGCCCAAACTGCAACCCAAAACCCACTTATGTATCACCGGGTGCCAGGTGGGTGTGGCCTACTCGGCAGGAGCAGCTACAGTAGGCTTGGCAGACTGGGAGGGCGTGGCCACTGGATGGGTGTGGTGCAGGAGTCATGGCAGATTGGGTGGGAATGGCCGGGGTGTGCGTGGCCACCTTGATGTTGCTTATGGGAAGGGACACCTGTGGTAGCCGGGCAGGGTTGGGGGAGATCCAGGGGCTCTGGCGGGTGGGATGGTGAGCTCCCCAATGGCGGCTCCAGGCTGCCTGGCCTTAGGCCAGTGATGGCAAACTTTTAAAGACCACATGTGCTGGGGCGATGGCACGTGCCCATAGAGAGGGCTCCGTGTGCCGACCCTGGCACGCGTGCCATAGGTTCGCCACCACTGACCTACAAGTTTCCCATTTAATGACATTTAAAATGTAGAAGATGCTGGTACATTTTAACATTCCCCCAATTTCTGATCAAGATTGTTCCAAGGATCCTAACTTCCTATAATAAATATTATTGTTATTATCTGTTGTTTTGCAAGTACACTGCTTCTATACCAGAGAGTAATTCCTTCTCTGTCTAATGACACTTGGCCAAATAAGTAAAGTACATATAAAACTATAGGAAGGAGGCACAGTGAATTGGTTGCTTCTCCTTTCCAGAAGTGATCTCCAGAAATTCTACAGAGATTCTCAGTCATCGAGGTCAGGGTTGTCCCAATGGCGCTTTTTCATGAGGCAACTTGTTTTTTTTTTTGAAGACGTTTCGCTTCTCATCCAAGAAGCTTCTTCAGCTCTGACTGGGTAGTGGGGAATGGAAGGATTTGTATTCCTTGCAGACAGTTGGTCATTTGCACTAATTTAGTCTTCTTTTGATCATTCTAAAAAAATGCAAATGACCAGCTGCCTGCAAGGAATAAAAATCCTTCCATTCCCCACCATCCACTCAGGACTGAAGAAGCTTCTTGGACGAGAAGCAAAATGCCTTCAAAGAAAAACAAGAAAGTCCCGTTGCCTCTTGAAAAAAGCCGCTTTGGGATGATCCCCAGAAAAGGTAAGTGAACTGGGGCACGACCAGGAGGGGAAAGGCTCAAGTGTATGAAACCCAGCGGGACAGGCATTGGAGGATGTAGTGCCTCATGGAGTGGAGGAGATCATGTGAGACGGGGAGGTGCTGCAGTGCAGGCTGGGGCCTGTTGTCCGGCTTCCAAGGGTCTCTTCCACTCCCTTGCCTGCCCCATGCTTTGCTTAACAACCCATGAGGTCACTAGATTATGCAACAGGTCCAACAGGGATTGTGGGTCATTAAGCAAAGCGATCACATGGGTACCTCACTCAACGACCATCACGACTTACAACCATAATTCTGGGCTGAATTGTGGTCATAAGTTGAGGACTACCTGCAATTAGAACAAATGGAGATTTATGTGTGTGCCAGACAGACCACACTTCAGAAGAACTATACAGGATTTTTTTTCAAGTTGGCAAACGGCAAAATGAAAATAATGTTTTGCTTTTGCCCATGTGAGCAATGGAGCGACTTAATGGCAAGCAGGCACAATCTGGGTTCCTTGGTTACCGGTGCAGAAAACCAGATACGGGAATCAAGGAAACAGAATTACAAATTATGGCCCCTCGGTGTTATATTTCATTTATGAATGTTGGGCAACACTTGAGAACTGTTCATTATCCAACCGTTTGATCAATGGCATTTTATTTTAACAAGTTAACATCAAAAGCAGGGACTGCTGAGGTAAATCATCAAAGGCCTAGCTGAAATATGAACAAAATGCAAATCAAGAATCATTAGGAGACTGCACTTCGGGAAAAGCTTTTTAGGGTAATTACTAGACAAATACTGGTAATTACTTCCAATCAACTGTGCCTATTTTATAGTGTGTATGTATGTATGTATGTATGTATGTATGTATGTATGTGTGTGTGTATACACACACACACACACACATACATACACATATATATATATCACACATACACATAAACACATACACACATACATACATATATACATATATAAATATACGTGTGTGTGTGTGTGTGAATATATACTTCTAGTATTCTTTATTGACTAATAGTGAAGAGAACTTACCTATATGCAAAGTTGGCTTCCCCTTCAAAGCCAACTTCAAACATTCTGGTTTGTTATATATACTGCAATAATGTAGAACTGTATTCCCCAATGCTGTTTGCTTATCCAGGTGTCCACTAAAAAATAAAGAAAAAAAAAATCCCTATATTAGCTTTCATACCTAATCATGGATTGACACGCAGCACGTATTCGTGAATTCATTTTATTCTGTAAAAAGTGTAAAATGTCCGTGAACCACAATGACTATATTAGCCATCAACCATATTTAAGAACTGCTCATCCCCTTCACAGAGGGACTCTGGAAGATCTAAAATAAGATATTGAAAGCATAAAAAAACAGTATGTAAAATTTAAGAGAGGCAAGAATGTTAGAAATTAAGAGGTGGGAGGGGGGGGGCTTTTAGGGGGCTAATCAGCCCCAGGGCTGTGTACTTATTTGGGACACAGACCCATATTTTTACACCTTTAGGAAGGCCAAGAGAGTGGGGGTTCACCCCACCACAGGCTGGGGAGAGGAAAGCGTGTGCCTGAGTTATGCATGTGATTACACTGTGAAAGTCAGGGAGAGAGTAATTTATACCACAATAAAAACAAAGAGCTGTTACCAGTTTTGTACAAGGAAGTCGACCAGATGGAGTGAAGAGTGATCGGCAGTCCGGACTGCTAAATGAAGAGCGGTTTCCCCTGGCTCCTAAAGGCAGAAAGAAAAGATGAACATTAACAACAGCTCTGGGTTCATTTGTGTCCTAACAGAACCACAGAGTTGGACGGGACCTTGGAGGTCTTCTAGTCCAACCCCTTGCACAGGCATTCTAACGTAGACCATTCCAGACATATGGCTGTGCCATCGCTTCTTAAAAGCCTCCAGTGTTGGAGCACTCACAACTTCTGGAGGCAGGCCGTTCCACTGATTAATTGTTCTGACAGGAAATCTCCCAATGAAGTGTTCAGCAAGATGCAAATGATCACTCTCACCCACCATATATTTCTACGGTACAGGTAGTCTTTGACTTATAACCATTTGTTTAGTGATTTTTACTGGAAACCAGCCCCAAAAATGACACAAATTGTGATCATCTGACTGCAGAATGCTGCAACTGGCTGTAAAGTGCACCGGTTGCCAAGTGACCATCATGACATATGATGGAAATTCCAGCTCTATTACGGTCGTAAATCGATGACTACCTGGAAGAATATGCAATTGTTTACTTTCTTAGGTAGAAGTAATAGTTGGATATATCAGGAGCCAAGCTGAAGGCAGGAGGAATGGGCTACTTAGAAGTATTTGGTTAAAATAGAAAAGTTAATCATAGATCTATTTCAATACACACTTCTACACATACACACACAAACACAGAGAGGTGTGTGCATTGCTACAAATATCATGACTATGATGCAATCCTCAATTTTTTTATTTAGCTTTTTTTGTGCGTATATGTGTTGTCATAGTTCCGACAGATGAAACTCTTCAAAAGAACTTTGAGGCATTGTTTACCTTAAAGAATCTTTATTTTGAGTAGCATAACATCAGCACTGCATAATCGAAGCTAAAAACTGAATTACCCTCCCCTGAGTACATAGTATCAAAGCACAATTCCCTCCTCCAATTAACAGTCATAAATCACATTCCCCAGTTAGCTTGAAGCCTGGCCTTCCTCTCCAGTCTGGCCAATTCCTTATCAGCTCTGGTTACAATAACCTTGTTTCTCAGGCTAGGTCCAGTGTTGTTATGTTTAGCTGGACTCTCGTTCACATCCCCTATCCCAGCATCATCTAACTCTAAAAGCAAAAGGTAAAAGATGGCTACATTTCCATCTGTTGTCAATGCAAAAACATCCAATGTTAGCAGCGTTGACACGTGTCTCTTAAATGTATGCAAATCCAGATCCCTAATCTGAGATCTCACCTGTCCAGGGTCTAAGAGCGGCTCCATTAGGTCAACTCCTTCTGCATAAACTTGAATTAGTGCAAGTAAATCCCTGGATCTAACAGCCTCTAGTATTTCATTCAATTTAGCTGCTGTCGATGCACAGGTCTTTCTGGAGAACTTATGATCCACATATTTAGCAATAATAAATTCTTTACGGGCAGTCCTGAAAACAAAGCAAAAACTTGTTTTTAAAGAAATGATCTGATGCAGAGTTACATTTCAGGTCAATCCTTAAGTCTGACGGATTAAAATAAGAAAACTGAAGAAACATTAAGTCATCTTTATTCATCTAGTCTCCATAATCCATAACGGTCTGCTAGAGAGATGCTTCCGTTGGGATGGGTGGAAAACCAGCAACTTCCTTTGCATCTTTTGTGGCAGCAGTGGGTTTCTGAGTATCTATACACTGCTACAGCTCACAGTCACTCATGACCCCTTGTCTGGACTATTGCAAAGCACTCTACATGGGGCTACCCTTGAAGAGCATTCAGAATCTTTAGGGCAGAATGAAGCTGAATGGGAATAAAGAGTGTTAGGTGTTTGACACATCGTTGTTTCCTTGTGTTGAATTGCTTGCCGATGTGGCCTCTGACTGCAAATCAAAATGCTGGTTATCATCTGCAAAGGCCTTCACCCCTTGGACCTGGGTTAATTGTGGGACCCATCTTCTTCCAGTTGTTTCCACCCATCCAATTCAGGCAGGCAGGATGAGCATGCTGTGGATCCCATCAGCCAAGGAGTGTCAGGTGGCAGAAATCAGGAGATGTGCCTTCTCTGCCATTGCCCTCTGGAATACCCTCCCTTCAGATATCAGGGTAGCAATAGTGATTGCACTTAGACTTATGTACCACTTCGCAGTGCTTTACAGCCCTCTCTAAGTAGTTTACAGAGTCAGCATATTGCCCCCCCCACCAACAATCTGGGTCCTCATTTTACCGACCTTGGAAGGATGGAAGGCTGAGGCAACCCTGAGCAGGTGAGAATCGAGTTAGCCTGCAATACTGCATACTAACTGTAAAGACGCTAAGAAAAAGACTCAGGCGTGTCTTGAGCAGAGATTTGAAGCTGCTGCAGAACTATTTGTCACAGCTTGAGAGTCTCTGTGTGTTTATTAGTTTTTATATACTTTTTACACACATAGGCTTTTACATTAAATGCTGACATTTTACATTCATAAGTTTAACCTTTAGATGCTGACATAAAGTTTCTTCATTAGAAAAATTCCTTCGTATAAGCAATTATTTTCTAGTAACATATTACCTGTTCAGAGACCAGGTAAAAACAAATACAGGGAGATGAAAAGCAGAAGGAACTAACAAAGACAGGAAGAGATAAGAGGGAACTTAAGCGTATTATTTATTTAGGTAGGTGAGATATTAAGTCAAAAGGGGATGACCTTTTGGCTGCTTCATTGGGACAAAGGGTATCAAAAGGTTATGAGGTTTGTGGGGGGGAAAGCATGGCAGTTTGCTGCGTGTGCTTTTTTTCCCCCACACTAACCACTGCATCACCACGGTTCACAGGATAAATTCACGCAAGGCTGTGAAGATTTAGCTGTATGCCTGGGTCTGTGGTCCCGAGTGTATTAAGGGCCCCATTTCCTGGCTGTATTAACATCCATAGCAATGCTTTTACTTGGTGTGATCTATATTATTTTGGACTGTTTTCATAGTTTTAATTGCCTGAACCGTGAGATGTGCAGTAAATAAATTTGGTAACTAAAAATTGTCTTTGTTTTTATGACGTACCCCACTCAGATAAATTTGATAAATAATAAAAACTGCCTTTGTTTTTTATGCTTTATTATATACACAGCCCAGAGTAACTTGAGATGGGCAGCTATAGAAATCATATAGACAAAAAAGCATACCCAGAAAAACCTACAGAAGGGTCCTGAAGCAGCCCCTTCCCTCCAATTTTGCAGCTTTCAGAAAGGCATCAGAGGAACATGTTGTTTGCAAGTGAAGTGTTGAATAATTTGCACAAGTCTCACAGGTGTTTGTGAGCTGCAAACTGCATTTTTTTTTCTTTGTTACTTACATATCACTTGATGGAGTAGGTTTTGGAGACGGAGTCGGTAAGTTTCCCTCCATAATTTCATTAAAACTATTATTTCCTATATTCTTGGCCAGCTAAGAATGAAACAAACAAACAAAAAAGCATGCAATTAAACAGATGCCATTAATCTAAGACTTTGCAACCACAATATATTTTAAACCTATCTGGTGTTTAAAAGCTGTCCTTCAACACAATTTTAAAAACACTGTGAGAGTGAAAACCAAATGCAAAACTCGATAGTCTATGTCAGGGTTCTTCAAACTTGGCCCTTTTATGACTTGTGGACTTCAACTCCCAGAATTCCTCAACTAGGCACGCTGGCTGAGGAAATTCTGGCAGTTGAAGCCCACAAGTCATAAAAGGGCAAAGTCTGAAGACCCCTGGTCAGGAGGAATGCAACCCCAACCAAAACGGAAATTAACCTCAGTCAATGTGTCTATTTTCATATTTACCAATAACACATTAGTCTTGTCTGGATTCAACTCAATAGGCTTTCCTCAAACCCATTCCTGATCTGAGCATGCTGAATCTCATGGAAATGCTCAACTTCCCAAGAATGCCCAACCTCTTCCAAACTACATCATCTCAGTTTCTGGAAGTAAATATTCTGAACAGGAAGAGAATCCAGATATCTTGGATATGGTGTGGCAGACAAAACCACAGATATCCTGGATATGGTGTGGCAGACAAAACCAATCTGTTTCAGGACCACAATCCCCTGGAATGCCTCAAATTGCTTCCAGCCTCAACTCCAGATTGAACAGAGATTTCTGAAGGATTATCAACGCATAGTCAGTTTGATCTAGATCAGAGGTCCCCAACCTTTTGGGCACCAGGAACCGGTTCCGTGGAGAGAGGTTGTTCTGCGGACCGCAGGGTGCGTGGTTTTGTGTGCTGCCTGCATCCCGCGGATGGGGCTTTGCTTGTTTGTGCGGACCGGCTTCTTGACATGCCTCGGCCCGATGCTGGTCCACGGACCAGGGGTTGGGGACCCCTGGTCTAGTGGAAGAGTCAGTTTGATCTAGTGCAGGGATATCTTGGCAAATCTATGTGGACTTCAACTCCCAGAATTCTCCAGCCAGCTATGCTAGATGAGGAATTCTGGAAGTTAAGGTTACCAGAGCTGGACACCCCTGGTCTAGTGGTTAAGACATCAGGCTAGAAACCAGGAGATTGTGGAGTTCTAGCCTTGCATTAGGCATAAAAGCCAGCTGGGTGACTTTGGTCCAGTCAGCCCAACCCACCTCACAGGGTGGTTGTTGTGGAGAAAATAAGAGGAGGAAAGAGTAATAGTTATGTTTGCTGCCTTGTTACTTATAAAAATAATAAAGGTGGAACTTAAATACTGGTCTATCCATTTTTTCCCTTATAATTATAGCAGGTAATTACCAAGAGTTCAGATGTTCCTAATTTGTCCAATTCTAAAGACTGGATACGAGAAATATGAACACCCATTTCTCTGTGTATTCCGGAACATTCGATACAGGTTAAAATGCCCAGGTTAGTTGAAATCCAAGTTGGATCTAAAGAAAATAAAAAATAGATAAGAATAACATTAAAAAAATCTCCCTTTTCATCTTCAATAAGAACAAGTTTGGGTACAGATTGTTCTAGGCCAAGGATAGGCAACCTTGGCTCTTTTATGACTTGTGGACTTCAACTCCCAGAATTCCTGAGCCAGCCATGCTGAGGGGAAAGGAAGAAGTTTCCATGCTGAGCCATGCTGGCTCAGGAATTCTGGGAGTTGAAGTCCACGAGTCATAAAATGAGCCAAGGTTGCCTACCCCTGGCCTAGGCTTATGACAATTGAGACCAAAATTTCCATTGCTAAGCGAGATAGTTAAGTAAGTTTTGTCCCGTTTTAGACTTTTCTTGTTTATAGTTAAGTGAATCACTGCAGTTGTTAAACTGGTAACATCGTTGTAAAGTGAATCTGGCCTTCCTCATTGACTTTGCTTGTCAGAAAGTCAGAAAAGGGGATCACATGACCCCGAGCACACTGCAGCTGTCATAAACATGAGTCATTTTCCAAGTGTCTGAATTTTGATCACGTGACCATGGGCGTGCTGCAATGGTCGTAAATGTGAAAAACGGTCATAAGTCTCTTTTTTCATTGCTGTTGTAGCTTCGAACGGTCACTAAACAAATGGTTGTAAGTTGAGGATTACCCTTAGTTTATTGTAATCATAAAAACCTGATGCTTTTTGATACTTTTGTTAAACTTTAGACTGTATACCAAACATGTCTTAGGAACAAACATCCAGGAGTCTTCTGTGTGTGAATTGGGCACCCATATAATTGTTCTTTAATAAATAGAAAGAAGCTATATGGTTCCTAAGACCCTGCCATACGTAAAAAACGTTTTGGAAGTAGTAGAATACAGCTTCCAAGATCTGCAAGTGGGCATCACACACCACCCAGAGGCTAACACAGTGATGGCGAACCTTTTAGAAACAGAGTGCCCAAACTGCAACCCAAAACCCACTTATGCATCATTGAGTGCCGGGTGGGTGTGGCCCATTGGGTGGGTGTGGCTGCAGTTGTAACGGCAGACTAGGTGGGACTAAAAAGTTCAATCAATCAATTCCAACTTTGCAAGATTTTTTTTTCCGCGAGAAGTTGAAATTGACTGATTGAATCTTTTCTTTTTTTTTTTTTTTGTACACGGCAGCGGAGGCCTAAAGTGAAAAGGTTTTATAAAACCCAGCTGAAGGCCTAGGACTGGGGCGAGGGCACGCATGCCCAAAGAGAGGGCTCTGAGTGCCACCTCTGGCACCCGTGCCAAAGGTTCGCCATCACTGGGCTACCATATGAGGACAAATCATACATTGCAAACATTGCTTGAGGTGGAAGATGCTTCTCATGTAATCTACCAGATTCCCTGCATGGATTGCCCCTGTGACTATGTAGGACAGATGGGAAGAAAGCTAACCACCAGATTGCCAGAACACAAGCAAGCAGTCAGATGAGAAGACTTGAACTCATTAGTAGCCTCACACTGCAGTGAACAAGGATACATATTCAGTTTCGCAGTTACTAAGATTGTCAGACAAACAGGTACAAAAACAGCCGGGGAAGTGATTGAAGCATGGGAAACAGGCCCCTTGTCAGTCAGAAGAAATGCTGATTTACTACCACCTTATCAGCTACTTAGGAGCCCAAGGAAACAACAGCCAATGACTTAATAGCCAGCCATCAACACCCCTGAGGATGGGCTCCAGCTTGGAAGACTAAACCTCTGGTCCCGGTGGCTGACTCAGATTGGATTCTGCAATAAATAAATAAATTTCCTAAAAAAGTTATTATTAATGTACAGCCAAGTACCTGGTGACCCACAGTCGCAACAGACATCATTTCCAGCCAATCTCTGAACGTCATCAATGATGGCTTTTGTAAGATCCTCTAGGCTGTTCTCCCCCGTGCTCTGTTCTCCACGGAAGGCCATATTCAAAGCTTCTTCTTTGCTGTTGGTCAGTACCGATATCCACCTAAAATAAGACGGAAATGATAACAACATCATTTATCCCACATAAGAAACTATAAAAGAAATGCAACAGAACAAAGTATGAAAACTGCCCCGTGTTCTTATTTTGTCCCGTCTCTTTCAAACTTTGAAAGAGGGGAAACCAGAAAGTTTGAAAGACATGACGCAATACAGGTAGTCCTCGACATACGACCACAATTGAGCCCAAAATTTCTGTTGCTAAGCTAGACAGTTGTTAAGTCTAGCTTTAACCCATTTTACGACCTTTTTTGCCACAGTTGTTATGTGCATCACTGCAGATCTTAAGTTAGTAACACAATTGTCAAATGGGCCTGGCTTCCCCCATTGACGTTGCTTGTCAAGAGGTCACAAAAGGTGATCACAGGACCCCGGGACACTGTGATCGTCATAAATATGATCTGAGTTGGCAAACGTTTGAATTTTGATTACGTGACCATGGGGATGCTGCAATGGTCGTAAGTGTGAAAAACGGTCATAAGTCACATTTTTCAGTGCCTGTAACTTTGAACAGTCACTAAATGAATTGTTGTAAGTCGAGGAGTACCTGTACATGGGGAAAAAAAATCCTATTTTCTAGTACCTATAAGGTCTCCATACCCAATTAGCTGAGATGAAAAACATTCAAGTAGGGAAAAAAAAACAAAAATAAGATTAACTGCAACTGTGGGTTGTTGTTTTTTTTGGGGGGGAGGGGGAATGCTTACTTGTGACTTCACACACAGAGGTTTTGTACCTGTATGGGTGTAATTTAGTCTATTCTAGAGCCCAGTTTTATATGTGAACGCTCCACCTTAATTTGCCCAAAAGAGATACTTTTGTATTTTCATGAGTTCCTTAAATCACAGATATTTATCAGGTTCTATATAAAGAGTCACAGATGGTCTCTCTGCATCATAGAAATGGGAAATGCAGCTTATTTTAAAATCAAGGGGAGAACTGATGGTTCACAGACAGAATCAAGATCACGCAAAGTATTATTACCACTTTATAAAACCCTAGTAAGACCACACCTGGAATACTGCAGCCAATTTTGGTCACCATATCATAAAAAAGATGTTGAGAGTTTGAAAAAAATTCAGAGAAGAGCAACTAAGATGATCAAATGCCTGGAGACTAAAACACAGGAAGAATGGCTGCAGGACTTGGGTTTGGCTAGTCCAAAGAAAAGAAGAAATAGGGGAGACATGATAGCAGTGTTCCAGTATCTGAGGGGCTGCCACAAGGCAGAGGGGGCCAGGTTGTTCACCAAAGCACCGGAGGGAAGGACGAGAAACAATGGTTGGAAACTGATCAAAGACAGAAGCAACTTGAAATTAAGGAGAAACCTCCAGACAGTGAGGACAATCAACCAGTGGAACAGCTTACCCCCAGAAATCGTGGGTGCTCCATCACTGGAGATTTTAAAGAAAAGACTGGACATTCACCTGTCTGAGATGGTACAGGTTCTCCTGCTTGAGCAGGGGGCTGGACTAGAAGACCTCCAAGGTTCCTTCCAGCTCTACTCTACTCTATTCTACTCTACTCTATTTTCAATAAAGATTCTCTTTCCTCTTCTATTCTCTTCATTATCAATAAAGATTCTATTCTGTTCTGTTCATTTATTTATTTGTTTGTTTGTTTATTTGTTTGTTTATTTATTTATTTATTTATGAGACTTATATACCGCTTTAAGTGCAAGCACTCTCTAAGCGGTGTACACCAGTAAGCAATGTATATATATATTTACATTGCCCCCAACAATCTGGGTCCTCATTTTACCTACCTCGGAAGGATGGAAGGCTGAGTCAACCTTGAGCCGGTGAGATTTGAACCGCTGACCTGCTGAACACAGTCAGCTAAAGTGGCCTGCAGTACTGCACTCTAACTGCTGCGCCACCTCGGTTCTATTCATTTAACTGATAATCTAACTTGGTGCTTTACTTGTCACTAGATTGTTTGCACAATCAATAATTCCAATGTTGTGATTCCAATTTTATGAGAATTAACACAGTATTGTGGTTAAGGGATTAAGGCTAGCAGCCGGAAGATCCAGGTTCTGCTCCACAGAAGTCCTTCTTAAAAAAAAAAACAAAGAAGAAATGAACAAGTAGTCCTCTACTTACAACCACAATTGGGACCAGAATTTCCATGGCTAAGATGTTTGTTAAGTGAGTCATGCTGTAATTGTATGATCTTTTTTGGGGGGGGGGCTCTGTTGCTAAATGAACCTCTGCAGTTGTTAAGTGAATCACATAGTCATTAAACAAATCTGGCTTCCCCCACTGATTTTTCTTTTTGGAAGCCAGGTGGGAAGGTCGCAAATAGCGATCATGTTGTGAACATGTGCCAGTTGTCAAGCGTCCAAATTTTGACAACATGGCTGTGGGGATGTTACTGTGGGGATGTTACTTATGGTCATAAGCATGAGGATCACTAACAGTCACTTTTTCCAATGCTGCTATGAATTTGAACGATCACTAAACAAATGGTTGCAAGTCCAGGGCTTCCTGTATTACCAATTAAAACTGCCAATAAAAATAACATCATTTTTTTTGTGTGTGTCTGTTTCATTGCTGGGCTGTCCTAAGAAATCCTCTTTTAAGTTTAAAGAACCCTCTGGAATGGCAAGCTAGAGCAAAAATAACTGGGAGGAAATAAGCAGGCATTCACACTGTGTGAAGGAGCTAAAATATAGGCAGTCCTCGACTTACAGCAGTTCATTTAGTGACCGTTCAAAGTTACAACAGCACTGAAAAAAGTGACTTAGGACCGTTTTTTCACACCTATGACCATTGCAGCATCCCCAAGGTCACGTGATCAAAATTGGCAACTGACTCATAGTTACGATGGTTAGACTGTCCTGGGGTCAAGTCATCACCTTTTGCGAGTTTCTGACAAGCAAAGTCAACGGGCAACTAAGATGTAACTAAGATGTCACTAAGTTAACAACTGCAATGATTCACTTAACAACTGTGGCAAGAAAGGTCCGTAAAATGGGGCAAAACTCACTTAACAAACGTCTCGCTTAGCGACATAAATTTTGGGCTCAATTGTTTTCGTAAGTCGAGGACTACCTGTGTACAGCCATTTTACCAGGCAACATTCATCTTGTTTATTAACTGGACAAAAATGAACTTTTTCTAATAACTGCAGGAAGGAAAATGTTCTTACGCAACATAATCTTGTTCATCTTCTGCCTGAAAGTGGTACGTTCTGTTATCTGGAACATAAACATGCAAATCTTCAAAACAATGAACACATTAATTACATTCCTAGAGAAAAAAAAAATTTAAAGGCTTAAAAGCCAACAGTTAGTAACTAAGGACATATGCTGAAATGAGTCAGGGAACCTTCAGAGATTCTATTTTCAAAAGGAAACATTTTGTTCACATTAAAAAAAAAAAAAAAAAACAGCTAACTTGCTCTTACAAAAATATCCAGACAGGAATAGTATTAAATCAGGGGTGGGCAATTAATTTTCCCAAGGCACCACAAGAGAAACTGGAACTGTTACGGAGAGCTGACAACCCCCCCTCTGCTGCCTTTGCCCCACCCCCCAATGTCGCCATTGCACCACCGTCCTGCCCTCTGACACTGCTGCCATCCCACTCTCACGTCATCGGACTGGGACTGCCCACAGGCCAGATATGGCCCACAGGCTGTAAATTACCCAGTTCTCTTCTAAATAGATGTATTGTAGGCTAAGCCCGAGGGAGGGGTCAAACGTGTCATAAGTCATGAGTCCCTGTGTGCCCACAAGAAATCTAAGTCCAGCCCACCTTGAATTCCTTCTTATCTCCCGCTCATTTCCCTTGATCGTTAGTTGGCCAGATTCTTGTAGAGAGCTTAAGCTTGCAATAAATCTTTGTACTCAATTTGAACTGCCTGAATCTCTTGATTTCCAACGAACCCTTGACATGTACATCTTCCAACCACTGTTCAGGATAACCTCTAATACTAAACCACCTAAAACCCAAGTAATTAACTTGAAAGACCTACGTGATATCAGGTCAAACGATTTCTTGTCTTCAGCATTTGGTTTCACTTGGCATGTCAGCAGATTTAATTTAGCAGGTTGCCTGTTTGACTTAAGCATAAGAAAAACACAATTTCACTTTATTTAATGTTTGTTTCATTATATTTTTAACTTAAAGGTCATTATCGCACAGATGTTGTATTTTTTTCCCTTGTCCATTACCAAATGTATTGACCTTTTCATTTGCATCAGTAGTCCTTGGTGGGCTATAAGGGTGCATTAACAGGAATAAACAATTTCATCTTATCTGTAACTCATTCCTGAGAAATGTTAGAAGGTTTGGAAGAATGATATTGTTTTTTTTTTCATGAGATGGCAGGAAGCATATTAATTTTCTTTTCTTCTGTTCCATTATGTCTGATTCTTAAGAATTGACTGAACAGGTTCCTGTAGTTTTCTTGGGAAGTTTTTTCAGAAGTGGTTTGCCATTACCTCCTTATTAGGGCTGAGGGAGACAGACTGGCCCAAAGTCACCCAGCAGGCTTTGTGCCTAAGATGGGACTAGAATTCACCATCTCCTGGTGATTGGCCCCAAGTCACCCAGCTGGCTTTCAAGCCTAAAGCAGAACTAAAACTCTCAGTCTTCTGGCGATTGGTCCAAAATCACTAACCTAGCTTTCATGGCTAAGGCGGGACTAGAACTCACCGTCTCCTGGTTTCTAGCCTGGCGCCTTCATCACTACACTAATCTTGCTCTCCATTACTTGATTACAGTAATCTAAAGGCTACACTGAGCACGTAGTTAGAAAAAGGAAACAGAAATACCGTATTTTCCGGCAAATAAGGCGACTCGGCGTATAAGATGACTCCCTGACTTCGGCGCCGATTTCCATGCCTAGAAAGTTGTCTTATACACTGGAAACTACCGTAATTTCCGGTGTATAAGACCACTCGGCATATAAGACGACCCCCGACTTCGGCGCCGATTTCCACGCTTTAAAAAGTCGTCTTATATGCCGGAAAATACGGTACTCATAAAGAAGAACAGCCATCATTAGCTTAGCTTTTAAATCAAAATGGGTTTAGTTATTAATGATTTGCAAAAATAAGTTCTAACACAACACTGGTAAAGAAAAAAACAAGTCTCTTTTAAGCCTTCTAGAAAAACTATTTCTTTCTCTATTACTTTAAAAAAAAAAAAACACCATATGAATTTGACCAGAAATAGATGGGAGATAATTTTGCAACTGAGAAGAAACTATTTCAATCCGTTAGAAAAAGTATTCCACAGCCCATTGCTAATGACAGCTTGTTCTTGAATGCAGGTTGTCCTTGACTTACAACCAAAATTGAATCCAAAATTTATGTTGTTAAGCAAGACATGTGTTAAGTGGCTTTTGCCCCCTTTCCCAACCTTTCTTGCCCCGGTTGTTAAGTGAATCACTGCAGTTAATAACTTAGTAACTTGATTGTTAAGTAAATCTGGATTCTCCATGGACTTTGCACGTCAGAAGGTCCCAAAAGGGGATCACATGACCCCGGGACATTGTGAGTGTCATAAATATGAGTCAATTGCCAAGCATCTGAATTTTGATCACGTGACCCTGGGGATGCTGCAAAAGTCGTAACTGTGAACAACGGTTATAAGTCATATTTTTTGGTGCTGTTGTAACTTTGAACGGTCACTAAATGAACTGTTGTAAGTCAAGGAACTGCCTGTACCAAATTCAGCCTCATTTTTCAAAGACCCAGTTTTGGAAAACAGACAGAACACAAGGGGGCGATATTCGCTCATGGCTGACCATTAAATCGGGATTAATCAGACCGGAATTTTTCCTTGCTATTTCTATCCTCTTTGAAGCAACTTTGGCTCAAAAGTTGTCAATGTGATTTAAGGCTTTAATTTAAACTGTCTGTTTTAAATCATTGACATCATTGAAACCACTGAAGCTATTTGCTACCAATGATGTTCACTGAGTGACTGCAGAATTGCAAAGCTTCTAAATTTTGAATTTTATTATATAATGGGACACATCTAACTATCAAAACTTGTTTTCAAATGGTAAATTTCCCTGGAGAGTGTCTTGTATGGGCTGGCGCTGAACTTCTGGCTACGATAACTACTAAGTGTTATGTGAGGTAATAACAAGGAAGAGTCCTAATACCAAAGCTCTTAAATGAAGGACTATATTTAAATTAACAATAGGTTTCTTGATCTACTTAGACCAGGGGTAGGCAACCTTGGCTCTTTTATGACTAGTGGACTTCAACTCCCAGAATTCCTGAGCCAGCTATGCTGAGGGGAAAGGGAGAGGTTTCCAAGCTGAGCCACGCTGGCTCAGGAATTCTGGGAATTGAAGTCCACGAGTCAGAAACCGGCCTAGGCCTAGCCAGGGGTAGGCAACCTTGGCTCTTTTATGACTCGTGGACTTCAACTCCCAGAATTCCTGAGCCAGCCATGCTGAGGGGACCGGGAGAGGTTTCCAAGCTGAGCCATGCTGGCTCAGGAATTTTGGGAGCTGAAGTCCACAAGTCATAAAAGAGCCAAGGTTGCCTACCCCTGACTTAGACTATTATTTGTCAGACTTAATAATCCAAAGTGTTTCATGCATTACAAGGAATACATACATTTTTTATCTACATGTTATGAATAATGGTTTGCAAAGAAAAATATGCATTTACATATTTATGCCCAGGGCTTTTTTTGTCATAGAACGCCCAGAATGGAGTTCCAGCACTGTTTTTGGGATGGAACCTTGTAGGGTAGGCAAGGCGGGTTGTATGACATGTGTGAGTTCCGGCACCTTTTTTTTTTTAATTACAAAAAAAGCACTGTTTATGCCCAATTTTGATAAAGTTACCGGAAATTTAGCAGAACTCAAACCAGGGCATTTTGAAGCCTGTAGAATCACAACAGAAAATAGGGCATTCTGAAGTACAAGTAGGCCTCGACTTATGACCATAGTCGAGCCCAACACTTCTGTGACTAAGTGCAACAGTCCCACTTTACAACCTTTCTCGCCACAGTTGTTAAGTGAATCATTGCAGTTGTTAAATTAGTCACACGGTTGTTGAATGAATCTAGCTTCCCCATTGACTTTGCTTGATTGGAAGGGCGCAAAAGGGGATCACATGACCCCGAGATGCTGTAACCATCATAAGAGTGAGTTGCCAAGCGTATGAATTTTGATCACGTGACCATGGGGATGCTACAATGGTTGTAAGTGTGAAAAATGGTCATAAGTCACTTTTTTCAGTGTTGTTGTAAGTCGAGGACCACCTGTATAATGATAGGTAAAACAGATTCTCGGGAAATGCCATGTTCACTCTCGCTCCTCAAAGTATCAACAATTCACAAGAGCATCCTGTCATACGGCATCAAAGTCTGGTTTGGAAGCATCACTGTGTCAATGCTGCTAACATCGGATGTTTTGCTTTGACAACAGTTGGAGATGCAACCATTTTCTTCTTATGTTTTACTTTTAGAGTTAGAGTTAGATAATGCTGGGGGGAGGAATGTGCATGGGAGTTTAGCTAGACATAACAATACTGGACCTAGTGTGTGAACTAAGGTTATTGAAATAAGAAATGATAAGAATTGGCAGGCTGGAGAACTGGAGGGAAAGCCTGCATTTCAAACTAACTGGAGAACGTGATTTATGACTGTTAATTGGAGGAGGGAATTGTGCTTTGATACTATGTACTCAGGGGAAGGGAATTCAATTTTTGGCTTGGACTGTGTTAGTGCCGATGCTATGCTTCTCAAATAAAAATTCTTTAAGGTAAGCAATGCCTCAAAGTTCTTTGAAGAGTTTCATCTGTTGGAACCATGACATACTGCTTCAGACAGGAAGGCGATGCAGAGAGTGGTGAGGATGGCTGAAAAGATCATTGGCAGTTCCCTCCCTTCCATCCAGGACATAGCACATAAGCGTTGCTTGAGCAGTGCCCGCAAGATTGTCCTCTCCATGACCTGTTTCCTTGTTACCTTCTGGGAGGAGGGGGGTCTGTGGTATCCGAAGCAGAACATCCAGATTCAGTCCCAGTTTTGTTCCATACAGTATTAACCTTGTGAACTCTCAAGCTTCCTCCTTCTGCTATGTATTCAAGATGGACAGCGAGTAATATTTATATGTTACTTATATGTAGGGTAGGTGTAGGTCTGTACATATGTTATATATAGTATGTTTTAAATGTGTGTTATGTATGTGTACCCTTTGAGAGCAAGCAACTAAATTTCATTTTTCATGTGTGCCGTTGTGCCCACAGGGAAAAATGACAATAAAGGTTATCTAATCTAATAACGGAGAAGTAGATTCTCCACAGAAAGTGGTCCCTTGAGAAATGTTCCGTGGGTCTGTGAAAGACAATATTTCTTATCACTGTTCCTTGCAGACAGAAATTGCCTTTAAGAATAGTCCTGGATTTCCGACTGTTTGTTTAGTTCTATGCTGTAACGGCACTGAAAAGGGTGACCTGTGACCCCTTTTCATACTTGTGACCATTGAAACACCACATGAACATCACATGAACAACATGTGTCATGATTCCGACAGATGAAACTCTTCAAAGAACTTCGAGGCATTGTTTACCTTAAAGAATCTTTATTTGAGTAGTATAGCATCAGCACTAACATAGTTGAAGCCAAAAACTGAGTTCCCCTCCCCTGAGCACATAGTATCAAAGCACAATTCCCTCCCCCCAACTAACAGTCATAAATCACATTCCCCAATTAGTTTGAAATGCAGGCTTCCCCTCCAGCTCTCCAGCCTGCAATTTTTATCATCTCTTATTTCAATAACCTTGGTTCTCATACTAGGTTCAGTACTGTTATGTCTAGCTAAATTCTCATGCACATTCCTCCCCCCAGCATCATCTAACTCTAGGACTAAAAGCAAAAGAAGAAAATGGTTGCATCTCCATCTGTTGTCAAAGCAAAAACATCCGATGTTAGCAGTGTTGACAACGTGTTCATGTGATCAAAATTCAGACACTTGGCAACTGGCATGTACTTATGATGGTTGCAGTGTCCTGGGGTCACATGATCACCATTTGCATCTTTCCGATGAGCAGAGTCAATGGGGAAGCCAGTTTCCAGCAAACAAAATGCCCATTTGAAATATTGGATTCTCATTTATAATCACTACATTCATTTAACGATCACAGCAAAAAAAAAAGTCTTAAAATCACTTCCAGTGGGCACCTCAACTTACAACCAGTCCCAACTGGAGTTGTAAGTCGAGGACAGCTGCATGGTTCTACTGCTATTCAGTCAAAAATAAAATAAATCTAATTTGATCTAATCACTAGTCGCCTTGATATTAACTTCACTCCACAGGGTAGGGATAATCATTTACAATATAAAAAGACTACTCACAGTTGCATGTGAAATGGTCAGTATTCCATTTTTAACTGTACATTTTCTTCTCTGCCAAACTTTACGTATGCTGATAAAAAAAAGAAATATGAATCAATCTGCTATTGTTCAAAATTAAGATTTTTTTTCCATCGGGCGTGGCAGAACAAGCAGGCACAACCTAATATACTTCCTGCATTTGTCAGAAATATACACAATTTGTATTTAAATGAAAAAAAATTCCTATATTACTCAAGTACACAAATAGGACTACTGATAGAAGAGAATATTTGTAACTCAGGGTTAGAACTGTGGGGTCCTTGGTGTTCTCTGAGCTGGGTGGTTTTCTTGCAGATGTTTCGTTACCATATTAGGTAATATCATCACTGAGTGCGCTGGTTTGGTAATGAAACGTCTGCAAGAAAACCACCCAGCTCAGAGAACACCAAGGACCCCACACATAAATAGGACTTTTCTTCATATGCAATTTTCACTGCCCCGCTGAATTTCTTGAGTTTTATATAAACTGCGTGCAATGACACACCACCAGGCAGTCAACCAATTAACCAGTGGAACAACCTGCCTCCAGAAGTCGTGAATGCTCCAACACTGGAAGTTTTTAAGAAGAGACTGGACAGCCATTTGTCTGAAATGGTATAGGGTTTCCTGCCTGAGCAGGGGTTGGACTAGATGACCTCCAAGGTCCCTTCCAACTTTATTATTATTATTATTATTATTATTATTATTATTATTGTTGTTGTTGTTGTTGTTGTTGTTGTTGTTGTTGTTCTTATAACCAGTCTATTATCTAAGAACGATGATAAAGCTCGGGGTGTTAAAAATTCAAAAAACACCTAACTTAACTCAACTGTTGTATATCCCTTACCTCTGACAAATGAGAAACTCATTATTCAAAACAAATGATGCTAAGTCAGATTAAATTAAACTACTTAAATTTATTAGTAAATAAATAAAAACCTACATAACTGTAAATATTTTTCAGAGTGCCTTTTTGAGGCACCTCCCGGTTGCATGAGCCCTGGACATTTTGGGAGAATGTTCTTGCATGGCCTTGCAGCGTCCGAAAACAGTAGGAGAGAAGCCCGATTCTCATGCAGGAGATCAGGGCCCTCTTGTGTGGCCCAAAGGGTCTGGAGGCCTGGCGTATCCCCCAAAATGAGATCACGTATCACCTATGCCAAGGTCTTCAAACTTGGCCAATTTAAGACTTGTGGACTTCAACTCCCAGAATTCCTCAGCCAGCATGCCTGGCTGAGGAATTCTGGGAGTTGAAGTCCACAAATCTTAAATTGGCCAAGTTTGAAGACCCCTGACCTGTGCTGTGACAAACCTGTCTTAGGTTTGCTATCACCAATCTAACAGCTAACAAATATGTTAGCATAAAGGTGTTAGTTTTGTTAACAACTAACAAAAATGGTACAGAGTCTCCTTGAGCAGAGGGTTGGACTAGAAGACCTCCAAGGTCCCTTTCAACTGTTATTCTGTAATTCTGTAAACAGGGCAGGTGCAGACCTAGTTCTGCTTGACGATAACTCAGCAAAACTGGGCTGAAACAGCCACATTATTCTCCTCAGTATAAGTCCTATTTCTTCCAACTTTACAGTGCCAAAAGGCATTTTAGTTTTCCTCATGCAGAGTAGGTACTTTTCTGAAAAGAAAAGGCTGTGTTTCTAACAGCTAACAAATATGTTAGCATAAAGGTGTTAGTTTTGTTAACAACTAACAAAAATGGTACAGAGTCTCCTTGAGCAGAGGGTTGGACTAGAAGACCTCCAAGGTCCCTTTCAACTGTTATTCTGTAATTCTGTAAACAGGGCAGGTGCAGACCTAGTTCTGCTTGACGATAACTCAGCAAAACTGGGCTGAAACAGCCACATTATTCTCCTCAGTATAAGTCCTATTTCTTCCAACTTTACAGTGCCAAAAGGCATTTTAGTTTTCCTCATGCAGAGTAGGTACTTTTCTGAAAAGAAAAGGCTGTGTTATTTTTTTTCCTGTTCCATGATCTACATTTTTCTTTACAAAAGCTCTTTCATTAGGCTTCTTACCCAGGCCCTCAAGGCCACAGGCCTGCACAAGGCTCAAAAAAGCCGCAACGGCTAAGCATATGTGGAACAGCTACATTAATTTATCCATTCAGTTAAAATAACACCAAATTGACATTTAATCAAACACCATCCTGGTTTTGGACCTGCCCTTTTCTCTCTCTCTCTCTCTTTTTTTTTTTGACCGCTGCTAAACTGCACTTGATAGTCAAAGCTATGGTTTTCTCAATAGTAATGTATGGCTGTGAGAGGTGGACTATAAATAAGGAAGGCTGAAGTATGGATGCTTTTGAATGGTGGTGTTGGAGAAGAAGACCCTTGAGGAAGTCCCTTGGATTGAAAGGAGATCCAGTCCGTCAATCCTAAAGGAAGTCAACCCTGGCTGTTCTTTGGAAGAACAGAGACTGAAACTGAAGCTCAAATACTTTGGCCACCAAATGAGGACTCCTGTGAGAAGACCCTGATTGTTGGGAAAGACTGAAGGCAAAGGAGAAGGGGATGGCAGAGGAGGAGATGGTTAGATAGTGTCCTCAATGCAATGAACATGAGTTTTGGCAAACTCCTGAAGACCGTGGAGGAAAGGCGGGCCTGGTGTGCTATGGTCCATGGGTGTCATGCCTCCGTCCGAGCCTGAGGACGACATGGAGTTCCCTGTTGAGGACCAGGAGGGGGTGTCTGTGGCTTCGGAGGACTGTGGGGAGGAACAGGCCGAAGTAGGCCAGGGCCCTTCAAATTTGGAACAGGGAAGGCAGAGCTCAGGCGAGGAGCAAGGGCCCTCCCCACCAGATCCCAGGAGAGCAGAGAGGAGGAGGGACCAATGGAGGCAGGCTCACTTGCTCTGGAGGAGAGCATCACACCCCACTCCACAAGGCACACCTGGGGAGTAGGTATTTAAGGAGACGCTGTGGGGTGGGGCATTTGCCGGGAACAAACGTGAACTCTTGTGATGTGAGCTCTTGTACCTGGACTCTTTGTATTTTGGATCAAGTTTGTTTCCTGCTGAGTTCTCCTTGCTGTCCTCAGTTTTGCAGTTTGCAGGTTACAGGCAAGCTGGGCGTGGAAGAGATCATATTTTGTTTGTTATCTGTTTTACTTTAAAGAACTGTTGAACTCCGTTGACTGTTTTATTGAACTTGTGCCAGCATAGGTGGAGGCTAGTGGGTGAACGTTGGCAGGGCTTACAAAGACAATTATTCTGACCAGCTAATTGCTTTGTCTCCGTTCGGGGCCCTGGGTCATCACCATGGGGTTGCTAAGAGTTGGACATGACTTAGCAACTGAACAACTTCAACAAATTGCACCTCCTGATGGAAAGTTGGATTAGTTTTGATTTGCACAGCATTATGCTTAACATCATTATTTCTTTATTCATAGAAATTACTGGCTCACCTACTTACACACACCTGGAAGTCTTATTAACTTCAGTTCAAAGATTTAGAGCGGGGGTGTCCAACTTTGACAACTTTAAGACCTGTGGGCTTCAAGTCCCAGAAGCGTGGCCGGCTGGAGAATTCTGGGAGTTGAAGTCCACAAGTCTTAAAGTTGCCGAAGTTGTTGGATATTCCTGTCTTAGAGAGATCAGAATATGCAGCAATGTAATGTGGAATGACGGCCTTTCTACTATATCAGTGGTGGTGAACCTATGGCACGCGTGCCAGAGGCGGCACTCAGAGCCCTCTCTGTGGGCACACGCACCATGCCCCGGAGATGGCAACTGTCCCTCTTCAACCAGCTGCCTGCTAACTAGCCGAGGTCCCACGTGGCCGAATGCATCCTGGCACGGCTAGTTTCCCTCCCCCCTATCCTGTCCCTCCTGGACTCGCATGCTCTCCTTTTCCCGGGCACGACCCACTGCATCACCTCCTCAGTTGTTGGCCGGCCATCCATCTCAGAGGCGGCTTCTTTGAACTGCTGGTGGCGGGCTGTGGAGCTCCAGAGTGTGCCGGTCAAAGGGCTGGCAGGCTGTGGCTGCTGACAGACACTGTCGGCCCCCATGCGCTCGCTGGCCTCTGTATGCGGGGAGCCGATGGTGCCAGGTAGCAGCCGCCCTGGCCCTTGCCTTGCCCCCATGGCAATGGCACCCCCGCCCTACCATGCCTCACCCCGCAGGACGAGCCTCCTGCCTACCACCCACCTACCAGAGACCCCCTGGATCTCCCCCAACCCTGCCCACCCCCCACAGGCGTCCCTCCCCATGAGCAACATTGAGGTGACCATGCCCACCTTGGCCACACCCACCCAATCTGCCATGACCACCACAGCCATGCCCACCCAGTGGGCCACACCCACTTGGCACCCGGCAATAAATAAATGGGTTTTGGATTGCAGTTTGGGCACTCGGTCTCTAAAAGATTCGCCATCACTGTACTATATCAATCAATACATAACGCAAAAACAACAAGCATCTCATTAAAAGATAAAGACCGAACTTTAAAATTATTGACATGTTTAGCCATATTTTCCCAGATCTGAAATGCATTATCACATTCCACTGGGTTATAATAAATGGAGTTTGGGCTGAATCTTTAATTATACTTAATATCTCTATCAGCCTTAGGAAGAAGGTTGAAAGAGATTGATTTTTTTTTTTTTGGAGGTGGGGATTTGTGACTGATCAATAACAGCAATAAAACAGGCTGCCTTCCTAGGCAGTTTTATTTTTCTGATTTATGGGCAAATAACCTTGAGACTGCACAGCACTCAGCTACAAAATGGGATGTTATGGCTAAGAGTGCTGGCATCATGTCTTAGTTTCTTTATTGTGTGTTTCGATTTCTCAGGAATGCGTATGTTGTGCCAGATTAGAAAAACAAATGTATTTCAATACATGCTGATTTATTTTTTTTAAATAAATAAAGCACGAATATTAAAAAGAAATATAGGTAGACTTCGACTTACAAATTATTCGTTTAGTGGCCGTTCAAAGTCACCGAAAAAAGTGACTTACAACTGCACAATTCACTTAGCAATCATGGCAAAAAGTTGTAAAATCAGGCGTAGCTCACTTAACCACACTTGCTTAGCCATGGAAATTGTGCCCCCAATTGTGGTCATAAGTTGAGGACTAACTGTACTCAGAGACTTATTTTCTTCAAGCAACCTATAAATATAGGATCCCTTCAATCGTAAGTCAATTTCCTTTTATGATTAGTTCATTTAGCACGTAAACTCCCCTACAACAGCTTTTCAATGATTACGTCAAACTGAGGTGAACCGAGCTGAAAAATGAATCTTGCTTTTCTAACACATGAAATATATTGATGTGTATCCTTTTTTTAAAAAAAAATATTAAAAATGCCTATTTATTAGCTATATAGAAAAAGATTTATACCACAGTCTCAACCAACTATGCGCTTCTCTTGAGCTGCTGTGAGATGTTTGGTTGGACAAGAATGTAGTGTAGTGTAGTATAGTGTAGGGTAGTGTAGTGGAATGGGATAGGATAGGATAGGATAGAATGTTGAATAGAATAGAATAGAATAGAATAGAATGTTGAATAGAATAGAATAGAATAGAAAATATGAATGGAATGGAACAGAACAGAATATAACAGAACAGTTGGAAGGGACCTTGGAGATCATCTACTCCAACCTCCTGCTCAAGCAGGAAACCCTATATCATTTCAGACAAATGGTTGTCCCCTCTTCTTGGAGAAAAATTTCTCACCAGCATTAACAGAAGCCAATTTTTTTCAAATGCTGGAAGCTTTAGAATGCAATAAATGGAATACAAAATACTTGCTGTATTCCAAGAAGGCAGTTCTGCATTTAAAAAAATCATGTCATAGTATTAATTCATCTGTCAAAAATCGTACTCTGAAATCCATACCCATCGCTTTTCTTTAAAAGGTATCCCTTTTTTTCACTGCCATATTCTTTATTTCCCTGAAGTTGATGCATGCTGTATCCTCCTTGCCGGCTCTGTGAATCCTAGACAGAAAGAAAGGGACAAATATATTGATATTTTCCTTCCTCTGATTAGCTCTTTGGTTTCTTTGCTTCACGTTAATTCCTTTATTTATAGAACTACAGCACAGAGAATGATTTCGTTTACAGAAGGCTGGGACACAGACTGTATATACATATATATATTTGGCTTAGCAGATAAAGGATTATTGCATACTTCCACAGTGCCACAAAGCTCTGAATGAAAAGCTTAGCAGCACATTTAGTTAAAAATAAAATCAGAATGTATGATGGAAAAAACGTAGAAGAGATGGAAGCGAGCAAGCTATATACACACATGTAAAACACATGTATATTGATTGTTCAATGATATTTCCAACGCCTCGTTTTTGTTCTTGGGTTTGAAATTAGAATGAAATTCAAAGTTATACATGTGCGGATGCCTGTATATATCTACGGCAAACATACACAAATACACAAGCCCGATGAAATATGTGACTGACAGTGACGACAAGATCTGCAAATTTACTGTGAATATAATAGCTATTAATGCATTGACTTACTCTCCTAGACTTCGATCAGAGAAGGCAAAAAAAAAAAAAGAGAGAAAGAAAGAGAAAAGTAAGACAATTTATTTTTCTAAAAGGATAATACTTTGCAGCCTACTTCAATGCTCAACACTTAATAAGGGGTGTAATAAAAAATAGTTAGAAAGGATCACACAATTGTTTTTTATAATAAAATTCTTAATGCCAATAGAAAGATGTGACACAAATCCCCATGGAAATTGTGTGTACAGGTAACTTAGCATCCATTCACAGCTACAATGGACCTCCCCAGGATACTTACAACCCTATTCCAAAATCCCAATGGCTATCCCCATCCCCTGGTCATGTGATTGCATTTTGGATGCTTGGCAACTGGCCCATCTTTATGGCAGTTTACAATATCCTGTGATCATGTGGCCACAATTTACAATGGTTTTTTTGTTTTGTTTTGTGTTTTGCTGTATGTTGGCGTTTACTTCTGGTTTTTCCACCCCCCCAAAAAGCACCCATTGCAAATAATGGATTTGCTAACGATCACTGCAAAAAAAAAAAAAGTCATAAAATTGGGTGCAATCACACGATGGACCTCCTAAACACTGGTACAACTTACGACTGTAATTCCAGGCTTAAATCTGATCATAAGCCAAAGATCACCTGTTATGTGTGTATGCTTTTTTAAAAGGTAGAATGAAACAGCAATACCAAGAACTTACTGACAACCATTCTATAGCGTATGTTCTGATAAATGGCCACGGATTCTGAATTTGAAATTAACGAGACTAAAATTTAACCACAATTTCCTCCTTTCCCCATGTTTCACTTTCATTAAGATTTGTTGAATCTGAAACAAGAGCAGCTGATTTCCCACAAGATTTGAGTCCTTTTCTTTGCATCGTGTCAACTAGCATGCGACTAAAATGAACACAATATTGTGGGTAAATTTGGGAAACACAGAAAAGTCCCTATAAGGAGATTTCTTTTTTCCTACTCGCAAATATAACACCAGAACACCCTTCATCCTTCTACATGCTTCTGTTTCCCAAATTGTTTTTCTCCTCCACACTTTCAAACGTAGATCCAGAATGGCAACAGTGTTTTTGCAATTTTTATAGGGAACAAAGCATCGAAGGAGATGATCTGGTTAGCATGGAAGAATTTTACACTATGCACTTGCTCTACCTCAGTGTTTCTCAACCTTGACAATTTTAAGACTTGTGGACTTCAACTCCCAGAATTCCACAGCCAGCATTGCTGGCTGTGGAATTCTAGGAGTTGAAGTCCACATGCCTTAAAATTGTCAAGGTTGAGAAACACTGCTTCTACCTTCTTCTACTTTTAATATCAGCCTTGAGAAAATTATTATTATGGATCATCGCACAGTGAGCCAGATGTTCAGACTGGATTTGGTATTTTGTCTACCTATGGAGTCCTTACCCAGGACCTGGGATAGGCAGATGTGGATGTTTGATGGTATTACAGATATCGTCGCAGGATGGAAGCAGTTCCTAGTAAGGCCACCTTTTGCAATTGACTAATAGCGAATTTGTCAATGCCAATGGTGTTCAAGTGGTGCTCCAGTTCTTTTGGGATTGCACCCAAGAAGCCTATTACTATTGGTACTACCCTTGCTTGCTTTTGCCACAGTCTTTCTATTTTTATTTGTAGGTCTTTGTATTTTGTTATCTTCTCCAGTTCTTTCTCGTCTATTCTGCTGTCTCCAGGCACTGCCACGTCCACTATCCAGACTTTTTTGTCTTTCTTATCGACAATTGTTAAGTCTGGGGTGTTATGTTGCAGGTGCTTGTCTGTTTGAATTCTGAAGTCCCAGAGCAGTTTAATTTTATCATTTTCTATTATTATTATTATTATTATTATTATTATTATTATTATTATTATTATTATTATTATTATTATTATGGATCATCGCACAGTCAGCCAGATGTTCAGACTGGATTTGGCATTTTGTCTACCTATCGAGTCCTTATCCAGGACCTGGGATAGGCAGATGTGGATGTTTGATGGTATTACAGGTATCGTCGCAGGATGGAAGCAGTTCCTAATAAGGCCACCTTTTGCAATTGACTAATAGCGAATTTGTCAATGCCAATGGTGTTCAAGTGGTGCTCCAGTTGTTTTGGGATTGCACCTAAGGAGCCTATTACTATTGGTACTACCCTTGCTTGCTTTTGCCACAGTTGTTGTTGTTGTTGTTATTATTATTATTATGACACTAATTAGAAACTCATGGTAAGCAAGCCTATTTTCCTAGAAACACTTTCCACAAAGTCACTGTGGAAAACAGTACACAAAACGCCAGGGTTCATGTTGTTCCCTTCATCATGCAAAACTCGCAAACAGATTTCCGAGAGGATTTAACAAAAAAGCTCTACACTGGAGAGTTATTTGGAGGGGAGGCACATGCCCATGTACTAGAGCAACAAATCTAACTTTTTAATCCCATCCTACATGCCCAGGGAGCAAAATGACCTTTGGAGTGTGTTGGTGTTTCATTCACAACAACTGGGCAGGGCTAGTGTTGAACAGCAGGACTGGAAAAGAAAAGAAAAAACCTATTGTGAATAAATGAGATATATTACTCATATTTCTGTACCCCTTCTTTTCATTAAATGGGTCTCCCGGTAGTAATGTATGGCTGTGAGAGGTGGACCATAAAGAAGGCTGAGCCCAAAACAACTGATGCTTTCGAATTGTGGAGTTGGAGATGACGCTTGAGGAGTCCCTTGGACTGCAAGCAGATCCAATCAGTCAATCCTAAAGGAAGTCAACCCTGGCTGTTCTTTGGAAGGACAGAGCCTGAAGCTGAAGCTCAGATACTCTGGCCACCTAACGACAAGAGAGGACTCCTTGGAGAAGACCCTGATTGTTGTGAAAAATGGAAGGCAAAAGAGAAGGGGATGGCAGAGGAGGAGATAGATAGTGTCATCAACACAACGAACATGATTTTGGGCAAATTCCAGGAGACAATGGAGGACGGGGAGAGCAGAGAGCTGGAGTGCTATGGTCCATGGGGTTGCCAAGAGTTGGACACGATTTAGCGACTTGAAGTACAACAAGAAGTAGATGATATGTAGGAATGACCTTGGAAGACAAGAGGCAATCTTGCAGCCAGGGCAATGTCCTGGAAAAGACAGCTCAGCTCATGATATCAGTCTTGCAAGGGAGTCCAGACAAGAAACACGACCAGATGATGTAATCCTATCTTATTGTAAGGCTGCTGTCAACTCTACAACGAACCTGGCTGAATCCATCTTGATTGTTCTAGGTTGCCACAAAAAAGGGAGGGGGTGCGGAGTATTTTCGCTAGTCTAAACCAGTGGTTCTTAACCTGGGCGATATTGCCCCCCAGGGGGCGATTTTGTTTTTCAGGGGGGCGATGGAACGAAAAGGGGGCGATATGGGGGTGATGGAGCGAGAAGTTTTGGGGACACTTTTGAGACTTTTTCATACAGTGAATCGCTGTATATCTGTCGTACAAAAATATCAGATCGCTCGCTATTAGTGGATTGAATTGTATTTTCAAATGTTCCTCCAGCTAGCTTCAGTACAGAACACCGTACATATGTGAATATGCATTGCTTATCTTCATGCACGTTGCGCAGCAGCCTCTACCATTTTTATATTTCTTTTTGTGTCTTAAATTTCACTTATAATTCAATCATTAAATATTACTGTTTTTTTTTTTTCGGGCATTTCACTTTCTTGCAATTGAATTTTGTTTTCAGTGGTCATTACATTTAAGTCTCTTGAATAACTAAGATAATAATGAAATATATGTATCACGAAGTTTGGGAACAAAGTGATGGGTAGCACCAAAATTTTTCACACAGTTGAGATATGGGAAAAAGACTGGAAATAAATTATTTGCATCGATATGTCTTGATGACAATTTTAAAGAAAACAAAACAAGTGTTTGCATAAATCAAAGAATTATTTCCTATGTTGTGATTGAGAGGGGGGCGATGACAACTTTCTCATTGGCTCAAGGGGGCAATTCGTTCAAAAAGGTTAAGAACCACTAAACAATTCTGAGTCCTGTGGGAGCCAAGGTCATTCTATCAGTTAGCTTAGAGCAGGGGTCTTCAAATTTGGCCCTTTTATGATTTCAATTCCCCGAATTCTGGGAGTTGATGTCCACAAGTCATAAAACGGGTAAGTTTGAAGACTCTGGCTTAGAGGATTGGGCGTTGTTGGAAAGGCCACCAAGTTTTTCTATTGGTGAGCCTAGCCAATTGCATAGCACTGGGGTAGGAAATTTGACTTTATAATAGTGTAACTCCTTGGAGGGAATTTCAGACTTGGTTTCATTTTTGACCATACAGATATTTTGTAACCAATAAACATGTTCTTTGAGGAAGCCTCTAGTCTCGGAGTTCTGATTTTGTTAGTCTTAAGCATCAGAACCATGGCAGCTACATTAACAGGATCTCGCAAGACTTCAACTATTTTCTGCCTCCTCTGTTTTTAGTCTCTGGAAAACTAGAAATGCTCCCATGCTTTTCCACCAGCTGCGGACTGAGCTGCCAAAGAGCTGTGGGGGCACAGTGGTTAGAATGCAGAACTGCAGGTTAACTCTGCCCACTGACAGGAGTTCGATCCTGACCGGCTCAAGGTTGACTCAGCCTGCCATCCTCCCGAGGTCAGTAAAATGAGGACCCAGATTGTTGGGGGCAATATGCTGACTCTGTAAACTGCTTAGAGAGGGCTGTAAAGGACTGTGAAGCGGTATATAAGTCTAAGTGCTATTGCTATTGCTATTATCACGCTGTAGGCCTTTGTCTGTTTCCCAAAGTCATTTCCACCCACAGGTAGTCTTTGACTTATGACCCCCAAATTTCCATCACTAAGTGAGGCAGTTATTAAGTGAGTTTTGCCCCATTTTATGACTTTTCTTTCCGCAGTTGTTAAGTGAATCTGGCTTCCCCATTGACTTTGCTGGTCAGAAGGTTGCAAAAGGTGATCATGTGACTTTGGGACACTGCAACCGTCATAAATACTAACCAGCT